ACCGTATCCAAGGTATTATATTATTTATATATAAACAATCCAGTATAAACAATTGCTTTAACATATATTATATCTATTTACTAATTTATCTAGATTTAAAATAACTTTCTATTTTTCTTATCTAATCATCATTTATCCATTTATATCACCTATTTAGTATTGTTATTTTCACTTTCCATATATTTTTTTTTTTCGTCTAGAATGAAATAAATATGTTAGAAAATGTTATATTGATAAAAGAAAATAAATTAAATCAAACCATATCCGAGTTATTTAAATCCTTTAATTTTAAGATTATCCAATATTCCAATTCATCAATAAATAAATAGGCCACCCAAAAATATTCTAACTAATAATCAATATCATGCATTTCTCTCCATAAATTCATTGTATTTGTCCAGCAATAAAAAAAACTCAAATTAGTAAAGTCATATTAATAAAAATTAAGTAAATAAAAAAACCTCAAACCATATCCAGGAATTAATGTTAATTTTTTAATTCATCCAACAAATATTATTCAATAATAAAATTTAATACTCATTGCAAATGATTAATCCCTTCAAAATATTATTCGTCCCATATAATAAAGTCAAAAATATTATCCATCTATCGTTTTCTTATATAATAAAGTTAAAATCATATCCAAAGCATTTAAACTTTATATCTTCAAATCAACTATCATCAATTAATTCCAGCATATCTCTATTTCTTTATTTATCCATATTGCTAACATAATATTTTCTTTCATCACACTTGTATTATCAATAACTATGATATTCCACTTCCAATAATTAATCCTTCCAATATATATTTGTCTCTATTTTGCCCAAATAAAATATTGTAATCAATTCATCTTTTTCCAGATTAATATCTATTATTCTCCATATGTCGTTTATATTATCCATTTATTATTTTCTACATTTCCATGTTTTAATTCGTCCAGTAATAAAATATTATATTAGTAAAATATTAATAAGGTAAAAAAAATAATAGAAAATAAAAATCAAACCATATCCTAGAATTAATATTAACTTTTTAATTCATCCAACAAATATTATTCAATAATAAATTTAATACTCATTCCATTATCTCTTTAAAAACTAAAAAAATTCAGCAAATGATTAATCTCTTCAAAATATTAGTCGTCTATCATTTTCCATATAATAAAGTCAAAAATATTATCCATCTATCATTCCAATAATTAATCTTTCCAGTATATATCTCGATATTTTTGCACAAATAAAATTTTGTTTCTATTCTCTATGACCTTAATAATTAATTTTAATCAATCCATATAGTTTCTCAAATCTTAACCTGACACGTAATATTCTTCATCTTTTTCCAGATTAATATCTATTCTTCTCCATATAATTTATGTCATTTATGTTATCCATTTATTATTTTCTACACTTCCATATGTTTTTAATTCGTCCAGTAATAAAATATTATATTAGTAAAATATTAATAAGGTAAAAAAAAAATAGAAAATAAAAATCAAACCGTATACAAAGTATTATAATCCAGTATAAACAATTGCTACTAATTTATCCAGATTTAATTAAAATACACTTTTCTATTTTTTTTATTGAATCATCATATTTATCCATTTATACCACCTATTTAGTATTGCTATTTTCCATTTATTTTTTTTCGTCTAGCAATGGAATAAATATGTTAGAAAATGTTATATTGATAAAAGAAAATAAATTAAAATCAAAGCACATCTAAGTTATTTGAATCCTTTAATTTTAAGATTTGTCCAATTCTCCATATTGTATTTGTCCAGCAATAAAAAAAAATTCAAATTAGTAAACGTCATATTAATAAAAATTAAGCAAATAAAAAAAGCTCAAACCATATCCTAGAATTAATATTAATCATCAATTCATTCAACAAATATTATTATTCAATAACAAATTTAATACTCATTCCATTATCTCTTTAAAAATTAAAAAATTCAGCAAATAATTAATTCCTCCAAAATATTATTCATCTATTGTTTTTCCATATAATAAAATCAAAACCATATCCAAAGTATTTAAATTTTATATCTTCAAATCAACTATCATCAATTAATTCCAGCATATTTCTATTTCTTATTTATCCATATTGTTAATGAACTATTATATTTTCTTTTCATCACACAATAACTATTGTCCAATAATAAAATATCTTTATATTTTGTCTAAATCAAACTATATTGTCTGACCTTTCACGCTTTTTACTTATCCAGTATATCCAGTATCCAGACAAAGAAAGTATTAAGTCAGTATAACATCACATTATAAGAAAAATCACAAATGAATAAAAATCAAACCATATCCAAGGTCATCTTGTCAAACGATTTATTTATTTTTCGTCCAGTAACATATTTAAAATCAAACAATACTCCTCCCAATATATTTTTATATCTCATATTAACCGTATTATCTACCCGTGGTATTTCTCCATTCATATAAAAAAATACGTTAGTAAAATGGTATATTAATAAGAGAAAAACACGCAAATAAAATCAAACCATATCCGAGGAATTATTCAATCCACTTTAAATGAATTATCAACTCTTATTCCTATGTCTATCCAGATTATTAACCTACAGGTTTCATTACAGTACTATCCATCTATTGTTTCTCATGTATTTATTTTTCATCCAATAATGGAAAGAAACATATTAGTAAAACATTTTTATGTGAGAAATAAAACAAGAATCAAACCACTATTTGCTGTTGCCAACAGAAACGACTGAAACAGTGGCTGAGATATTTGAATTTTTAGCTAACTCAACAATTTCGTTTAATGCCATTATTGAAATGCAATATAATGAGTAGTAGAAAATCTCGCATTATATGTTGCCAGTTGCCCAGTAAGCCCAAATGAAATTACGGTATGTATATCCTCTAAACTCTTCCAATCACCTGGACTTTTTTCAACTGTAGCAATATTCCAACTAACAAACTCAGAAATAAAGTTATTATGCATTAGGTCTGGTGGAAATTTTGGGACCATTGTTACACCACTAAAAAAGTTATTTAGAGATCGGCTTAAAATTACTTCAATTTCCATATATATTTATACTTTACCGTACTGTAACTTTCATTTATTCTCATCTGTATTAATAAGAAACTCAAATTAGTAAAATGTTATAAATAAAATAGAAAAAATCAAACCAGAATCAAGCCTGACAATAAGTGATGATAGCCATCAAAATGGCAACTTAGAATCCAGAATTCTGGATGCGAAACTGGCAGCGTTGCATATCATGTGAGATACATGCATCTGCGGCTTGCAGTCCTAGGATATTTTAGAATCTTAAAATCCAATTATCCAAATTCACTTTTCCTTGTTATTAATATACTATTACCATCAAACAAATGTGATTTTTTTTTTATACTTAAATTTTGTCATATAATCAGGGACAACCTATTGAATAATCAAGTTTTTGAACGTTGAATCATATATAAAGGAAAGAAAAAATGAACACAAGAAGTGAAATATCGCACCTTAACCAGGCAAGAAAGAAAGATAAAGAGCCCTTTAACTTCCAGGTCCTTCAGTGCTGTGATTCACTATTGTATATAATAGCTTAGGAAACAAAATAAGACCTAGAGAAAAGAGGAGACCTAAAGAAAGCGGAGACCTAAAGAAAAGAGGAGACCTAAAAAAAACCGAGAACTAAAGAAAAGAGAGAAAAAAGAAGACCTATTGGTGAAAATATTCCTGGTTCATCAGTTTCATCAGTTTCATCTGTAATAAGTTACTTAACCTTAATCATGAATATGTTCAAGATTATTTAATCGAAAAACAAAATAAAACCTAAAGAACAAATCCGGGTTTTCGCTTCAGTGCACCCGAATATTATCTGTTTAAAATATAATTCGATAGGAAAATTACCATACGAATGAATATGTTGCATTACTATTAAGCTATATTTACTAATATTTATTTATCTCATTATGCCTATTGATACGTATTAATCTTGGGATATAACAAAAAACATAATACTTGCCAGTTAACTTCAACCTTAGTATGAATGATCCAAGAAGTGGAATAAAGGTAAACTCGAAGATAAAGGTAATGTAGCCGCCTAAAAATAAAAGTCTGCGTGAGAAAACAGCTCTCTCCCGTAGTTACTAGGTATCAAAACTTTTCGATGGCGGCGATGAAGGCTACAAAAAGCAATTTATAGCCAGCAGATAGAGAGTAACGCTTAGCTATATAACCAATAGAAGGATTAATATAAGGGAAAAAAAATATTACTTACAAGAAATTTGAGAGAAGAAACTGTCCTATATATATAGAATTTAGAATCAACATCTTACATAATTGTCGCGTTAAAAGTATTATGACTCAAATTTACTTATACGCAACGCGACTGCATATGATTATGTAATGAGTCATGAACTCATGATACTAAAATTGCCGAAATTGATTAGTCACAATTGATATTATAACGTACTACAAGTAATCAATTTCCTATTTAATAACTGATACTGATGCGCTATTGCCTTGAATACAATTTGAATATACCAATACTGACTTAACTGGATGACTCATTGCAGTGTTAACAGAAGAAACAAGAAGATACGATCATACGATAACTTCTCGGCTAATACAACTAGGGCCTAGGGGTAAAGGTAAAAAGTAAATCTGTCTTAACGCTCTTTGGGCCATAATACAGTATATAGACTTGTCTAAGACAAAGAATTTTCTTGGAATTTATAAATAGTCATACGAAATATAAGTTTATGTTGAAGCGCGTTAAAATGCTTTCTTTCTTTAGTATTTTCTGTGTAAAGCGTATAAAGAAAAAATAAACAAAACAAAAATGTACCGAAAAAAGCAAAGAAGCATAAAACTGGTGTAAAATCTTCGCTATCAAAAAATATATATATAATTATTTTTCTTCTATTTACAACGTTAATATTTTATTATATATTGTTATTAATTACAAAGAAAATAACATTGATGTTATACAATATTCCTAATAATAAATTATATTTCGCTTTTTTTATTAGGACAAAATCATTATATCTTATAATAATAATAAAAATTCATTAGCATCATAAATTTTTGTAGTTGTGTGGGGTTGGGACCGGGGGACGTCCTTAACGTATGGGAGTGTTGACCAGGAGTTATGCACTTGCACGTGATAGCGTTAACGTTAACTCCGTACAACATTAAGGAACCCCTGTTTGTGTTTTTGGTTAATAAATTCATATATATTTTCTTTCCTCTTTATGTATTGTTAAAAGTTAAAACAAAACCACTTGCATTGAATTTAATTTATGATAATTTTGTTCTAAAATTATTCCGGAAAAGATTTATTTTGTAAGCAAGAGGAAGTATTAAAGGCGAGTTATTCAAGATTTAATGATATTTCGTTATGATTATTTCTGCAATTTATTAAATAAATTACGATAGTTATATAATTCTTAAATGAATAATGCGCTATACGAGACACAATAAAGAATAACGATAAAACAAACTTCTGGATTGAGAAAATTACTACAGAGATAATAAATTTTTTCTTATATTTCTAAAAGAAAAGAGAAAGACGCGCTTTATTTTGTGTAACACGAACAAAGAAGTTGTTTGGTAATCCTACGGTAAATAAGAGTAAATAATATTAAATTTATTCAAGAAATACGTCAAAGGATTATTTCCAATTAAGTACCGAACGAAAGAATTTTTAATAACTATGAAGATTTGCAATCGGTTCTTACTTTAAAGTACTAGTATACATATTTTTTTACGCCATCCATTACCTATAAAGTAGTTGTATAAGTTGTATAATGTTAATATTATACAAATACGGAGATTCTCCTTACTGTATATGTAATCAATAATCATCTTATGACACTCTATTTATTGTGTTAATTATTAACTACGTAATTGTAGATCATTTTCATGGACAGTTTCTATATAAGCTTTAGCCAGTTCAAATAGAAAAATTATGGGAATATTTTACTATGATGATCATTTACAATAGATTATCATAAGCCAAAACAATCAGTCATATGAGAAAATCAAGAAAATCATGTATAAATAATCTTTACCAGGAATGTCTTAATCACAAATATTATTATATTTCTTATTAGTTGTAATTTTTATATCAAAATGGATATTTATAAACATTAGATCGGTTAATATTGACTCTTTTTATAAAAAAAGCTTTTATCAAATTAGAAAACAATAGCAACATTTCACACGAGTCTTTTGATCTAAGTTCAATATGATTTAACCCGCTAATTTATAATTTTCTCACACAAAAATAAAAAATAAAAAATATTCCAGTTATTCGAAGTTACTTTGGAAAAACTAGTATAATAAATGCATATTTCAAGTTAAAAAAACTCTCATGATGACAATTATTCACTAGTTCGCAACAAACTCCGAAATTGTATATAAAAACCCGGTCACCCAGCTGCTAATAACAATCTTTTTTTTATTTGCAATCTAAATTTCGATCTCTTTAATATATTTCTTTATACCAAGTATCAAAAAAAAAGTTATATTTTTTGTTATTGTTATATTCTTCATTAACTTTATAATATGGAAGAAGTATTATTTAGTCAGTTCGTAAAAAGACCAAGCACTTGTGATCTAGGGGCTCAGATAAAAGTTCGAGCAAACTTCTTTGAAGTTACTAGGATGCAAGACACGAACATTTCGCAATACGAAGTAAACATAACACCTACAGTCCCACAACGTTTAAATAGGAGAGTATTTAACCGTCTTGTGGAGCAATACCGGGAAAGAGCCCTCGGAGGTGCAAGACCGGTATTTGATGGTATGTATTCAATAACAAAAAAGAAGGTTACTATGTAATATTATAATATAGCTTCAACAAGATATAAAAATTATATTACACTTTGAATTATCAATACTTTGTGATGTTTAATGCTAACTAATTAAAATGTTGGTAGGAAGTGCAATTGTGTTTACACACAAGCCATTACCATTCGAAACCAGAAGTTTTGATGTAAAATATCTTAAATTTTATTTTTTACCTTTTTTGACTTTTGAAATTTTTAAGTTTAATTATCATAACTAGGTGGAATTAGAGGAGGACAACGCGGCCGTAGGTAGAGCACGTATACCTCGAAGATTTACGATTAGGATAAGAAAAACTAGAGAGATTTTCATGGGTGACCTATTCCGATTTTTAAACGGAAGAGGTGACATGACAAATAATTGCCAAATGGGTAATTTTTTTTTTCTTTCTTTAATAAAAATGAATCTCATAACGAGTTTTAATTTAATCATCTTTATGTAACAAGCAATGGTTGCGATGGACATCATTATAAGTCACAAGATTTCTGCAATATATCCTACTGTACGTAGATCATTTTATACTCCGCAGGTAACTAAACCTCTTCCTGGAGGTTTAGAGGCTTGGCAGGGGTATTTCCAATCAGCACGTCCCACGAGAGGGAGAATGATGATAAACATAGACTTAAGTACCACCGCTTTCTATGAAAGTGGCCCACTTATCCAGATGGTTGCAAAAATATTGAGACTTAGATCTCCCAATGAACTACGTAGAGGCCTTTCAGAAAGCGACCATCTAAAAGTTGAGGATAATATAAGAGGCCTTAGAATAATGGATAATCATAGAACGGGAAATAGACGAAAATTTAAGATTGAGGGATTAACTGAAGCTCCAGCTTCTCACGCTACGTTTCCTAGAGATGACGGTAGCAGGATCGATGTTAGAACCTATTTTCAAAATCAATATAACAGACGGTTATCATATCCATTTCTTCCTTGTGTTATCGTAAGGAGAAACCAATATTTTCCGATAGAAGTTTGTGATGTGATTCGGGTAAATTGTATATTCATCTAGCGATATCATATAATTATGTAAGAAATTTGTTTTTAAAAGAAAAAAATTATTATTTCGTATAACAGGAACAAAGATATATGCGGAAATTGACTGGAATGCAAACAGATGAAATGATGAACTTTGCTCGTCAAAATCCAAACGTTCGGGCAAATAAAATTCAAGATGGTCTCAATATATTGAATTATCGAGACAATGAATACCTTCAACAATTCGGAATGAGTATATCAAACAATATGGCTGTGGTAGGGTTGAAATATGATTTTTATATGGCACTTTGATTATTCAACAACGTGAATTTAATCTTACAGGTGGACGCTAGGATTCTCCCCACTCCAACAATTCAGTACCACCCAACATCAAGGGAGAGACGTATCGAACCGAAAGGTGGAGTATGGAATTTACGAGATAAAAAAGTAGCAACAGGTGCTACTCTTGGTTCATGGTCAGTTTTGGCCTTTTTAAATGAAAGAAATTTACCTGATAATATTATTGAGGGATTCTTGAGAGAATTTGTTGTTACTTGTATAGACACTGGAATGGTAATTTAAAATGATATAAACCTATTTCACTATGAACCATTCACGTTTCTAACTAATATAATTTAATAGAATATTCCAAATAGGAGACCTCCTATATGTCGTGAAAATCCTATAGGAAATACTGAAGAATCATTGAAAAAAGCCTGGCTGAGGGCTGGCAATAATGCGAAAGTTCAACCTCAGCTTATTCTATGTATTCTCCCAAATACTGGACAAGAGTTATATGGAGAAATTAAACGTATTAGCGAAACGGTTATCGGTGTCGCAACACAATGTGTACAAAGTGTACATATGAATAGGCCGAAGAAACAATATTGTGCCAATGTTTGCCTAAAGGTAAACGTTAAACTCGGAGGAATGAATTCATTCCTTATTCCCGAACATATTCCGTTTATAACGGAAAAGCCTACTATTCTAATAGGCGCAGACGTATCACATCCTGGACCTGGTAATTTTTTTTTTTCATATGAATTATTTTAATATATTTATGCTTCTCGCATCTTTTTTTCAGGCGAAACCGATAAACCATCTTACGCTGCCCTATGTGGTTCTATGGACGCTAGGGCATCTAGATATGCAGCGTCAATTAGAGTTCAGACTGGTCGTTACGAAATAATAGTAGATATGGCAAACATGGTTAAAGAATTGTTAAAAACATTTTATCAAACTTGTGGAAGAAAGCCTGAAAGAATTTTATTTTACCGAGACGGAATTTCAGAAGGCCAGTTTGAGAACGTGCTACGAAGTGAATTAAACGCAATTAGAGGTACTTATTTTATATCATTCCTAAATTTATTCAAGCATTTTGTTAACTTATTTGATTTATTTGGTTTACTTTTGGTCAATTTAAATTATTATAGCAGCGTGTCAAGCTCTTGACGCTAAGTATAAACCTACTATCACGTTTATTGTGGTACAGAAGAGGCATCACACACGTTTATTCCCAATGGATAGGCAAAATACTGATAGATCTGGAAATTGTCTTCCTGGTACCGTTGTTGACAAAAACATTACACATCCATTTGAATTCGATTTTTGTATGTAATTAAATTTATGTTAATATGTAAATCTATAGCATTCCTTAATAACTTAAATCTTTACCAGATTTATTAAGTCATGCTGGACTATTGGGGACGTCCCGACCAGCTCATTATCACGTTTTATATGACGAAAACGGATTTGATGCAAATAGGTAAGTCTATTAATTCAATCCAATTTAATAATTAATTGAATACGTAACTAATTTATATTATAATAATTTAAGGCTACAAACATTATCTTATAATCTTTGTTATATATTTGTGCGTTGTACGCGTGCAGTATCTTTGGTAAGATTTTAAATTGCATTTTTATCATTGTGTGTATAAAAAAAGATTTCTTTCAATTGCAATTCCTATTTCAATTCCATCTATTTTTTTAATGTTCTTTTCAAAAACATTCATATAAATGATAATAATTGTAATTATATTTAAATAGGTGCCTCCGGTATATTACGCTCACTTAGTTACCACTAGAGCAAAACACCATACACACAAAGTGCAGCACACCTTTGGAGTTGTAAAACCGGATCTACAAAGGGTGAATTTATAAAAGATGTACACTATCCTCAATTATTTCATTTTTCTAAAGTAAACTCTTTTTTTTTAGGCTATGTATTTTGCGTAGCAACTTCATTTATGTTGAACAGGAACAACAGGAACGAAAAAAAAATATTTTAAATAAATTTCTTTTAAAAAAAACTCCATATTTTTATTTTATAAAAACATACGTTATATTTATTTCAGTTTAAAAATATACTTTATATTGTTATTTTTTTATTTGTAAGAAATATTTAAAAAAAAAATAATTTTTTTTTATATAATCATATCGGTAAATTGTCTCTATAGAATGGTCATCAAAATTTATTTCATGTTACACAATAATCAACCGACCGAGTGAACATGGCTATTGACAACTAAAAAAGTTATCGAGAAAATGACTAAAGATGCAAGTTCTTCCATAGTTATGGCTCTTTAGGTGAGTTTATAAAATATTTTTTATTGATTTAATGCAGTTTCAGAATTCTGTGTACGATAATTACAGGACAATTACAGGTCGATTACAGGTCCGGTTTTTGTCCGGTAATTGTCCTGTAATCTGGTAATTTTATTTGATTAGGTAAGTAATTTGCATGGGATAGCACATTTCCGAAACCCGATAATTAGTATATAGATATAATATATAATTTTTTCCCTTAATCACAAGTTCATTACCTACAGAGATAATTTATGTTTCTGAAAGATAAAGGTGCCGCTTTATTTTGTAAACAAAGAAGTTGTTTAAATTGGTTAGTAAATTTATATATTTTATCAAGGTTTTTTGTGTTCAAAACAGGTTATATCCAATTTTTAGAAGATTGTTTAATCCTTGGCACAAAAACCAATGTTAATTAAAGCAAGTACCCTACCCATGGCCCATTTTTATCACGTTTCTTCATATTTTTTAAAATAAATATAAACAGAAACACATCATACATTGTGGAAATACGCATGAAAGTATATCCATTATCTTGTTATTATCTATAAGTACAATAATGTTGTACATCATTAAATTTCTTAAATATTATATAAATATGGAATTTTTTGTTGTATCATTTTTGTTATCTCCTTATTGATACGCAAATGCTTTTGTTTTAAACTTGTTTATTATAAAATGATGTTACCTAAACCGTATTAATTAATAATGACCGGAAACTGTAGATCATTTTCATGAATATGTATCTAAATCCAGTCTAGTTACGAAAAACCCGTGAGAATATTCTTTATGTAGATCATTATAGTAGATTATCATAAAAAATGATGGAATGATCTTTACCCAAAGTATCAGTACCTATAGAAATGATCGGAGATCGGGTGTAGTTATTATTAAAATAATTGGATGGTTATTATTGCTAATGTACCATGTACTACCAAACAATAAATTGCTTTTGTTATTGTTATTTATTAGTTTGTAACTTTTATATTAAAATGGATAAATTATTTTAAATATAAAATTATTCGTTTAACCTACCAAAAAAAAAAGTATATATGAAAAACAAGGTACTCTTTTAAATATTAGGACAGTTTAATGTTAACTCTTAAATAAAAAAGTTTTACCAAATTAGAAAACAATAGCAATTTTTTCTCACGAATCTTGTTTCTCAAATTAAACAAAAGAATATTCCAGTTGTTCCGAATTAATCTGGAAAAAAAACTAAGATAGATAAATTATGCACAAATGCATGTTTTTTTTTAGATTAAGAATATCACAATGATATCAATCAATCAATCACTCATCCGCAACATCCCAAATTATATATAAAAAACCAACCATCCATGCCTTGAGCTGCTAAAAAAAAAAAATTTCTTTTTTACACACCACCTAAATTTCGATATCCTTTTAATATTTCTCTATTTCAAGTCTCAAAAAAGAAGTTTTAAATTATTATTATTATTATCATTCTCTTTCGTTAACATTATAATATGGAAGAAGCAGCTTTTCAGATTACCCAATATGTAAGAAGACCAGGTACTGGTCGTGAAGGGAGAGTCGTTAGAGTTCGAACGAACTTCTTTGAAGTTATTACGATGCCGGAAACGAATATTTCTCATTATGACGTAACGATAACGCCCAAAGTTCCTCAGAGATTGAATAGGAAGATATTTAATCGTTTTGTAGAGGAAAATCAAAGAGAACTTAGGAATACAAGACCAGTTTTTGATGGTATGTATTTAATAACAAAAAAAAAAAATATTTTTCGTTACAAACAAAAATTAAAGTTTACGATATAACTTCAAGAAAATATCAAATTGTATTACATAATTTTTAGTCCTTTTTTTTAGAATAATCAATGTTATATGATGTTTAGAGAAAACGATACTAACTATTAACAAATGTTGGTAGGACAATCTAATATGTTTGCATTTAGGAAATTGCAATCTGATGCCTCTACCTTCGATGTAAATATCTTTATTTTTTTTTACCTTTTTCGAAAAAATAAAAAAAAAAAGTTTATTAAAGTTTAATTATCATAATTAGGTTGAATTAGCAGAAGAAAACGTGCCCGTGGGTAGAACACGTCCACCTCGAAGATTTACTGTTAGAATTAGAAAAACTAGAGAAATTATATTGGAAGAACTTTTCCAATTTTTAAACGCAAGAGGTAGTATGACCGAAAATTGCAATATGGGTAAGTTTTTCTTTTCTTTTTTCTTTAATAAGAATGAACCTCATAATAGATTATAACCATATTTATGTAATAAGCAATAATGGCAATGGACATTTTAATCAGTCATAAGATCGCCGCAATATATCCTACTGTGCGGAGATCCTTTTATACTAACCAGGGAGCTAGACCTCTCTCTGGGGGTCTAGAAGCTTGGCAAGGTTATTATCAGTCAGCACGCCCCACAAGGGGCAAAATGTTAATTAACGTTGACTTAAGCGTTACCGCTTTTTATGAAAGTGGTCCGCTTACTCAAATGATTGCAAAAATACTGGGTTTTAGATCTACCGATGACCTACGTCGTGGTTTTTCAGAAGGTGATCATCACAAAGTTGAAGACTTTATAAGAAATCTGAGAATAAGGGATAACCATAGAACGGGGAATAGACGAAAATTCAAGATTGAAGGATTGACCCGAACTCCGGTATCTAATACCATGTTTGATAGAGGTGACGGTAGTAATATTGATGTTGGATCATATTTTCAAAATCAATATAACAGACGGTTATTATACCCATTTCTTCCTTGCGTTGTCGTAAGGAGAAACCAATATCTTCCGATAGAAGTATGCGACGTAATTCCGGTAAATTATATATTCATCTTACGTTTAATATTAAATGGTTATAAAATTTTTTTTTAAAAAAAAAAAATTTAATTCGTATAACAGGAACAAAGATATATGCGGAAATTAAATAGAAGACAAACTGACGATATGATGAACTTTGCTCGTCAGAATCCAAATACTCGGGCCAACAAAATTCAAGATGGTCTCAATATATTGAATTATCGAGACAATGAATTCCTCCAAGATTTCGGGATGAGGATATCGAATGAAATGGCTGTGGTAAGTTTGAATATGATTATTGCATCATTAAATTGTACTTTGATAATAATTATATCTTCAATCATTCGAACTTAATTTTACAGGTAGAGGCTCGAGTCCTCCCTACCCCAACAATCCAGTATCATCCGACATCAAGGGAGAATCGTGTCCGGCCGAGAGACGGAGCGTGGAATTTACGAGATAAAAAAGTAGCAGCAGGTGCTACCCTCGGTTCATGGTCAGTTTTGGCCTTTTTAAATGAAAGAGAATTACCTGATAATATTATTGAGGGATTCTTGAGAGAGTTTGCTGTTACATGTCAAGATACGGGAATGGTAAGTTAAAATGATATAAACCTATTTCAGTATGAATCATTTAAGTTTCTAATATTATTTAATCATTTATCTTTAATAGAATATTCCAAATAGGAGACCTCCTATATGTCGTGAAAATCCTATAGGAAACACTGAAGAGTCACTAAAAAAAGCCTGGCTGAGGGCTGGCAATAATGCGAAAGCTCAACCTCAACTCATTCTATGTATTCTCCCAAACACTGGACAAGAGTTATATGCAGCAATTAAACGTATTGGCGAAACCGTTATTGGTGTCGCAACACAATGTGTACAAAGCGTGCATATGGGTAGGCCGAAGAAACAATATTGTGCCAATGTTTGCCTAAAGGTAAACGTTAAACTCGGAGGAATGAATTCATTCCTCATTCCCGAACATATTCCGTTTATAACGGAAAAGCCTACTATTCTAATAGGCGCAGACGTATCACACCCTCCACCTGGTAAATTATATATATATATGTATTTTTTTTCACACGAATTATTTTTAATATATTTATGTTTCTTGCATCTTTTTTTCAGGCGAAACCGATAAACCATCTTTCGCTGCCCTCTGTGGTTCTATGGACGCTAGGGCATCCCGATATGCAGCAACAATTAGAGCTCAGACTGGTCGTTTCGAAATAATAGCAGATTTAGCGAATATGGTAAAGGAATTACTAAAAGCCTTTTATCAAACATGTGGAAGAAAGCCCGGAAGAATTTTATTTTACAGAGATGGAGTTTCGGAGAGCCAATTTAGGCATGTGCTACAGAATGAAATAAACGCAGTTAGAGGTGCATATTAATCAAATTCTTCGATTTATTTATTGATTCTTGCTTTTCGTTAATTTAATTGATTTTTGATCAATTAATTACTACAGCCGCGTGTCAAGCTCTCGAGCCTAATTATAGACCCCCCATTACGTTTGTTGTGGTGCAAAAGAGGCACCACGCACGATTTTTCCCAATGGATAGACAAAATACTGATAGATCGGGAAACTGTCTTCCTGGAACCGTTGTCGATGTCGGCATTACACATCCGTTTGAGTTCGATTTTTGTGAGTAATTAAGTTTACATTCATAATTTTGTAGCATTTCTAAATGACTTTAAATCCTTATCAGATCTGCAAAGCCATGCTGGACTACTAGGAACATCCCGACCAGCCCACTACCACGTCTTATTTGACGAAAACGGATTTAATGCCGATTCGTAAGTTAATTTAATTTAATAACTAATATATATATGTAATAATTTGTGTGTTTTAATAATTTAGCCTACAAACGCTATCTTATAATTTGTGCTATGTATATGCTCGTTGTACACGTTCAGTATCTTTGGTAAGATTTTAACTTGCATTATCAAATATATGCCGTAAATAATAATAATTATAATATTTAAATAGGTGCCTCCGGTGTATTACGCTCACTTGGTTACTAATAGGGCAAAACTCCACATGCTTAGCGAGCCAGGTGGTGCGACCACTTTCGGAGTGGTGAAGCAGGAACTGCAAAGGGTAAATTATATATAAATAAAGATATATCAATATGTATTATTCTCAATTATTTCATTTCTAATATAACTCCATTTTTTAGGTTATGTACTTTGCTTAGCAACTTCACTTACGTGAACAGGAACGAAATGAAAAATATGTATACATATTGTTAATAATAAAATTTTTTTAAAGACTTTCCATATTTTTATTTTATAATATACTATAAGTACATTTATAGTAGTCCAAAAAAATAAAAATATTTCAAATTTTGTCCGTAATATTTATGTTATTATTTTTATTTTTTTTTAAAAAAAAAATAAAATAAAATAAAAATAAAAAAATGAGATAATTAAATTTTCTTATAATATGATTATGTCTTTGTAGAATGTTAGATACCAAGTTCCTTCATATGACTTAAGTTACGTCACACTAAGGTTAATGAATTATTTTCCCATGATCTTTAAGAGAGTTTGCTTAAGAATAATATTTTTTTATTGATTTACCGTATGAGTTTAAAAAGAATAAAAGTAAAAAATTTTTAATATACATGCAATATATATCACAGTCGAACTTATTTAATTTTTGCCTTTGATTTTGGATTTTTTGGAAAGTGAAGTAGTATAGTAAGAGTCCCGAGCATTACACAAAATGTATAGATTTTTTCTTTTTCGAATTATACTGGTCGGTATTAAATAATTCTTGCCTGAAGAGGTGCGTAGAGCTAAGTGCTGATTTCTTATTACCTTAGTCATAAATAACCCTAGATCGGAAATTTAATAGTAAAATCCAATCCAAGTAAGTTGCCACTTTATATTGTACTGCATAAAAAAAGTTGTTAATTAATTGATGAAATGTGTTAACGGAGTAAAACAAATAGTTTTTGTTTTTACAAAAATTCTAAGCTAAAAGTATTATTGATGCAAAAAATGGCATTTCTAACGCGGTTCTTCATAGTTCTCTTTTTTTAAAAATATATAAAAGACACACTTTAAGTACGTCATGTATATCTACTAAGATTTAGCATTCCTTTCACCTTCATCATCATCATTATTTTCATTATCTAAATAAAATAAATTGTAATAAATATTTGTTTAGAAATATAAAATCATTAATACTAATAACAATTATAAACAAAGACTAGCCGGCTTCATAATTAATAAAAAGCTTCAAGAGCATCTTAATTATTAATAGCCAAATGTGGAACTTTTCTGCTGTTCCATAAATATAAAATAATGGTTCAAAGTCAACATCAGTCCATTTATTTCTTACTTTTTCATTTTATGATATTTGTTTGTTTTAAACCCTTTATATTTACTCTATCTACAATTATGAATGCTGTATTAATTAAAATATTATTTTAAGAAATTTATTTCTTCATATTCGTAAATATTCACCTTTACTTTTTATTCTTCTTTTTCACCTTTTTTAGTGCCTTCTAATAAAATTTTATTTTTATTTTTAATTTTGAAAGGCAGATACGAATTCGATACGAAGTCTAATACAAGTCATACTTATAAGACTATTGATCAAAATAAACAATTTGCACAAAATCTAACTGGCAGACTCACCCTTTATAGTGCTATTAAAGTAAAATAATAAATTCTCGACATGCCACAATTTGTCACGTGATCGGCGCTATTGGTGTATACTATAAATATTGCAGGGGCATCGATCAAGGCAGGGGAGGGAGGCGACGATTGAAGTGTGACAATTAGGACACCAACCAAAATGTCACCTACTTCTGCGGAATAATTGTGACGCAGCTCCTGAAATATATACCGTATATAGTGATTTTCCAGCCTTAATAAATTTTTTATTATTGTTAAATAATTTATTTGTCACTTTAAAATTATGTAATCATAGAGTATTAAATTAATTAGACTTACAAAAATTATTTAGAAATTACGTTTTTCAAGATAAAAAAAGTGTTTGTTACAGAAGAATTTATTGTGCGATACAGGTGACGCGTGTCAGATGTAAATTATGAAAAATTGTGTTATGTAGATCATGTAGATTATCGAAAAAAATGAGACAAATACTCGATCATGTAAGGAAATCATATGCATATAAGGAATGATCTTTACCCGAAGTTTCCGAATTCGTAATTACATTTATGTCAGAAAGCTTAAAATTAATGCCAAAAATGGAAAATTTTTATTGATCTTCATAAAATTTACATAGAAAAGTAATTAAAGTAATTTCTAAAATGGCTAACAATGCGTTGTTCCTCCCCCCGCTCCTAGTATTGCATTGATTTGAGGCAACAACCTCTTTAAAAATGGAACAGTCCAAATTTTCCATTTCTTCACTTAGTGCATTCACAGTTCCAAGAAAGACCTCATGACTCTGAATATTGACTTTTAACTGCTTCCGAATGTTTTCTATTGAGTCTAGGACAAAGGAATTCTCTAGTTAATCAATAATCTCAATTTTATCACTCTTCAATCAATCTTTTGTCATTTTCGCGGTATGGATGGTTGCATTATCTTGCTGAGAAATTGCATCCCTTCTTGTTAACTCATGAGCTGTATGCTGAAATGAATATTAATAAGAGATGTGAATTTAAGATTTTAATTTAAATGTTTGAACTAATTATTTATTTCCTTCTTTATTTTCATCACATTAAATTAATAATTCTTTTGACCCTTCTGTAAAACATCCCCAAACTGTAACTGATTTTTATCCACTTTGAAAGGTAGGTGTCATCAACGTTAAATATCTCCCCGGTGTGTCTCCAAACTCTTATTTGTCATGACTGTTTTCCAATTTCAACACTTGATCTATCAGAGAAAATAATTTGTGCTCAATCTTTCTTTATATTCCTCACACCAACTAACACGAGCTGATACATGCTTTTTTGATATAAAGGGTTTTTTGCAGTAACATTGGAATGAATCCCATCATCATATAGTGTACAATTCAAATCCAAGTTATTAATAACTTCATGTAGAGGTTCACATCAGTTCTTTGTAGTTTTGTTTATAAGTGCATTTTATTGAGAGCAAGTAGTCTTCCTGATCATAGTAAATTTTCAGTTTTTCGTGTTTGTTAATAAATCTGCATGTTGTGAATGGATCATCTTGCTATTTGTGCAGAATTAAAAATTTCCATATATGCTAGTATGTTTCCTTTCTCTTGGGAAGATAACCCAGTATAATGTGACATTATTTTTTTTAACCGTGCAACGCGTTTGTCAGGTTATAAATTATGAGAAATCCATTCAAATATTGATTAATCGACGTGTAACGTAACACAATGCAAGAATCGGGCGTCCTTCCAACACGTGTATGTATGTACTGTTAATGTTTATTAAAATGGATAAATTATTTTATTTTTAGAATTATTATTCTTTACATTTTGTTCAGCCTACCGAAATTTTTTTTTAAAAAAAAAATTGTAAGGCTTAAAAAAAATTAATTTGACCCTTTTCATAATAAAGTTTATCAAATTAGAAAACAAATAACAATATTTCTCATTAACCTCAGTGCATAACGCAAACCCTGTACTTTGTTTTGAACCATCTCCTTGAGCCCAATGGGCTAAAGCTAAAGGGGTACAAATGCACATAACATGCAAGTCACATTCACATGCAAAATAATAAACATATATATACATATTATATTCCGATCACTTTTTAATATTTTCTTTTTCTCAAGTAACGAAAAAGAAATTAAAAAATAAATTTTTTTTTTTTTATTATTATCATTATTCTTCGTTGATTTTGTAAGATGGAAAAAGAAACTTATCAAATTATAAAAAGTCCAGGTATTGGTAATAAAGGAGAACCGATAAAAATTCGAGCAAACTTCTTTGAAGTTACTAAGATACCGAAAATGAGAATTACACATTATGATATAACGATAAGTCCTGAGGTACCCCCGCGATTAAATAGGAAAGTATTTGAACGTTTTTCGAAGGATAACCAAGATGCACTTGGGGGTGTAAAACCAGTATACGATGGTACGTATTCGATAAAAAAAACCAATATATTTCGTAACAAATAACCAAATATTGAATATAACAAAATGAATGTAATTAGTGATACCAAAATTGTATTACGTAATTCTTTTTTTAGAATTATCAATGCTATATGATGTCTAATTATATGCTTGTATTTTAAAGAGGGAAATGGATATTACTAACTAATAGCAAATGTTTGTAGGAAGATTCAATATGTTTACACACAAGCAATTGCCATTTGAAAGCAAAAGTTTTGAAGTAAATATCTTGTTTATTTTTTACTTTTTTTTGACTTGAAATTATTAAGTTTAATTATCATAATTAGGTGAAATTAGATAAAGGTAGCGCGCCCGTGTCTAAAACCCGGCCACCTGAAATATTTAAAATTGCAATAAAAAAAGCTAGAGATATTGACATGAATGACCTATTCCAATTTTTAAACGCAAAAGGCAAGATGACCAACAATTGCAAAATGGGTAAGCTTTTTCTTTTCTTTTCTTTCTTTAATAAAATGAATCTCATAATGAATTATAATCATATTTATGTAATAAGCAATAAACGCAATGGACATCATTATCAGTCACGAGGTTTCTGCAAAATATCCTACTGTACGTAATTCATTTTATACTTCACATGAGGCTGCATCCCTCCGTGGGGGTATAGAAGCTTGGCAGGGGTATTACCAATCAGCACGTCCTACAAGGGGCAAGATGATGATAAACATAGACTTAAGTTCTACCGCTTTCTATGAAGGTGGTCCACTTATTCAGATGGTTGCAAGAATATTGGGTCTTAGATCTCCCAATGATCTACGTAGAGGATTATCAGATAAGGACCATCAAAAAGTTGAGAGGAGAATAAAAAATCTTAGAATAAGTGATAATCATAGACCGGAATATAGACGAAAATTTAAGATTTTGAAATTATCTCAAAATTCAGCTTCTGACACTACGTTTGATGGAGATAACGGTAATAAGATCGATGTGAAAACCTATTTTCAAAATAAATACAAGAAGCGTTTATTATACCCATTTCTTCCTTGTGTTGTTGTAAGGAATGATAATAATCTTCCGATAGAAGTTTGTGATGTAATCCCGGTAACTATATATTCATCTAATGATATCATATAATTATAAGGAATTTTTTTACTAAAAAAATTATTATTTTGTACAACAGGAACAACGATATATGCGGAAATTGGACAAGGATCTAACAGAAGACATGATGAACTTTGCTCGTCAGAATCCGAATGTTCGGGCAAATAAGATCCATGCTGGTCTCAATATATTAAATTATAAAAACAACGCATACCTTAAACAATTCGGGATGGAAATATCAAACGAAATGACTGTGGTAAGTTTGAAATATTATTATCGCATCATAGGAATGTATCTTTAATAACGCAAGTTTATAGGTGAACGCTAGGATTCTCCCCACTCCAACAATTCAATACCATCAGTCGTCAAGGGAGAATCGTGTCCGGCCGAATGGTGGATCGTGGAATTTACGAGATAAAAAAGTAATAAATGGTGCCACTCTCAGCTCATGGTCAATTTTGTCCTTTTTAAATTCTAGATTCTTGCCTGATCAAGTTATTAGACTTTTCGTTAGAGAATTAATTATTACATGTAAAGATACGGGAATGGTAAGTTAAATGATATTAACCCTTTTTCGTATGAATCATTCAAGTTTCTAATCATCTATAACAGACTATCACAGAGCATGAACCTCCTATATGTCGCGAAAATCCTATAGGAGATACTGAGGGATCATTAAAAAAAGCTTGGGTGATGGCTAGAGATAAGGCGAGGGGAGTTAAGCCACAGCTTATTCTTTGTATTCTCCCAAGTAATGGAATAGATTTATATGCCAAAATTAAACTTGTTAGTGACACAATTATTGGTGTCGCAACACAGTGTGTCCAAAGTACACATGCGAGAAAACCGAAAAAACAATATTGTGCGAACGTTTGCCTAAAGATTAATGTTAAACTTGGAGGAGAGAATTCATTCCTCGTTCCCGAACATATTCAATTCTTGGCAGATGAGCCTACTATTTTGATGGGCGCAGATGTTACTCATCCTTCGCCTGGTAAATTGTAATTTTTTCTTTTTTTCACATAAATTATTTTTTTACTGATATATTATTCATGTTTCTCGCATCTCTTCAGGTGATACCGAAAGTCCATCTTATGCCGCTCTATGTGGTTCTTTGAATGTTAAGGCATCACGTTATGCAGCGTCACTTAGAGTTCAACGCGGCGGTACTGAAATAATAACAGATTTGGAAAATATGGTTAAGGAATTATTGAAGGCATTTTATCAAACTTGTGGTAAAAAGCCCAAAAAAATTTTATTTTACAGAGATGGAGTTTCAGAGAGTCAATTTATGGAAGTGCTAGATAGTGAACTAACCGCGATTAAAGGTAATTGAAACATATTATTCTTAGATTTATTCATGCTTTTCGTTAATCTATTTAATTATTACAGCCGCGTGTCATAGCCTTGAGGCAAATTATAAACCCACTATCACGTTTGTTGTGGTACAGAAGAGACACCACACACGTTTTTTCCCAATTCAAGGCGCCGATAGAACGGGAAATTGTTTTCCTGGTACCGTCGTGGATAGGGACATTACACATCCATTTGAATTTGATTTTTGTAAGTAATCAAATTGTTACATTGACATAAATTTTGTAGCATTTCTAAATGGCTTTAAATTCTTATCAGATTTATTAAGTCATGCTGGACTACTGGGGACGTCTCGGCCAACCCATTATCATGTTTTATATGATCAAAACGGATTTGATGCAAATAAGCAAGTTAATTTAATCTAATTTAAATAATTAATTGATATACGTAACTAATATATAATTAACAATTTAGATTACAGATGTTATCTTATAACCTTTGTTATGTATTTGCGCGTTGTACGCGTGCAGTATCTTTGGTAAGATTTTTTAAAATTACATTTGTTATTATTAAATACAGTAAATGATAAATATCGTTATTTAAACAGGTACCTCCGGTATATTACGCCCACTTAGCTGCCTTTAGGGCAAGACTTCACTCACCCCGTAGTACTGATACAGAATCATCCGAAGCATCTGAAGGCGGAAGAAGTGCCGCGACCACATTTGGAGCGGTAAGGGAAGATCTACGAAAGGTAAATTAAAGATATCTCAAATGTGAATTATTCTCAATTATCTTCATTTCATTAATAAAACTCCTCCTTTTAGGTGATGTACTTTGTGTAGCAACTTCGTAATAAAGTTATCAGGAATGAAAATTTTTTTCCTTTATAAGAATATATAAATCATATTTAATCCAATTTAGGCCAAAAAAAAATATATATATTGGAGATTGGCTTTATAGAATATAATTGCTAACTAGCAACAGTGTAATTACACCTACAAAGCTCGTGATATAAAACTATTTTTTATACTTTTTATTCTAGCCTTAATGATGGCGCTCTTTAACCACCATGTATTTAACAATAGAGAAGGAAGAGACTAAATTAAAAAGAGCGGTTCTTCAGTAACTTTTGATAGAACAAAATATATAACCTTTTTTTATTTTTTTTTATTTTTTTTTAAAAAATTATCTCTTTACACATAAAATAACAAATAAAATAAATAAAATATACAGAAAAAATGAAATATGAATTGTAATAAGTTTTTTTTTTTTTTAAAATAATTTTTTTTTTTTTTTATTTTGTAAGAAAGAAAAGATATATTAAATATATTAATATATTTTCCTTTCTTTTCGTTTCCTATAACTTTGTTTCACATAAGTGAATTTGCTACATAAAGTACATAACCTAAAAAAAGAGGAGTTTATTAGAACATGAGATACTTGGGAACAATACATATTCAATTTGAGATTGATTTATTTATTTATAATTTACCTTTTGTAGCTCTTGTTTTACCACGCCGAATGCGGACGCGGCACCACCTTCGGAAGATTCCGATTCATGCCAACGAGTATGAAATTTTGCTCTTGTTGTAACTAAATGAGCATAATATACTGGGGGTACCTATTTAAATGTAAAACAATTATTAACATTTACGAAATACAATAATAACAAGCGCAATTTAAAAATCTTACCAGAGAAACTGTACGTGTACAACGCGCATATATATGGCATAAATTATAACTTAAAGTCTGTAAGCTAAATTATTAAATAAATAAATTAGTACGTATATTAGTTATATTATTAAATTCAATTAAATTAAATTAAAATTAACTTACGAATCTGCGTTAAACCCGTTTTCGTCAAATAAAACATGGTAATGGGTTGGTCGAGACGTTCCTTGTATTCCAGCATGGCTCTGCAGATCTGATAAGGATTTAAAGTCATTTAGAAATTCCACAAAATTTATTATGTCAACGTAAATTTATTACTTACAGAAATCAAATTCGAATGGGTGTGTAATGCCCGTTTCGACAACGGTACCAGGAAGACAATTTCCTGACCTATCGGAATCACGCTTATCCAACGGGAAAAATCTTGTATGATGTCTTTTTTGCACCACAACGAACGTGATCGTGGGTCTATAAGATGCCTCAAGGGCTTGACATGCGGCTGTAGTAATTAAAAATTGGGCAAGGCAAATCAATTAAAATTAACAAAAGTATGAATAAATAAATAAAAATCCTGGAATGATAAATAATAAGTACGTACCTCTAACCGCGTTTATTTCACTTTGTAGTACATGTTTGAATTGGCCTTCCGAAACTCCGTCTCGATAAAACAAAACCCTTTCAGGCTTTCTTCCGCAAGTCTGATAAAATGTTTTTAACAAATCCTTGACCATATTTGCCAAGTCCGCAATAATTTCGAAACGACCGGTTTGAACTCTTATAGTAGCCGCATAACGTGATGCCTTAGCATCCATAGAACCACAAAGGGCAGCGATGGACGGTTTATCGTCTTCACCTTAAAGAGATGCAAGAAACAAAATATATTAAACATAAAAATAATACTATACCTATGTAAAAAATATTTCATGTAAAAAAAAAATAATAATAATTTACCAGGTCCATGATGAGTAACATCTGCGCCTATCAAAATAGTAGGCCTATCCGTTATAAACGGAATCTGAGCGGGATCAAGGAATGAATTCATTCCTCCAAGTTTTACATTTACCTTTAAGCAAACGTTCGCACAGTACTGCTTTTTCGCTTGTTGTACGTGTCTACTCTGTACACATTGTGTTGCAACGCCGATAACTGTGTCGCTAACACGTTTAATTTCGGCATATAATGGTGTTCCTTTATTTGGAAGAATGCAGACTATTAATTGTGGTTGAGCTTTCGCTGTATTACCGGCTCTTAACCATGCTTCTTTCAATGCCTCCTCTATATTTCCTATAGGATTCGCATGTAATATAGGGGGGGTCCTATTTGGAATATTCTGTTAAAAATAGAAGAATATTAGAAGCTTGAATAAATAAAAAAAAAAAGAGTTTATATCATTTAAATTACCATTCCACTATCTTGACACGTATTAACAAATTCTCTAACGAACGGATTAATAGCTTGATCTGGTAATTCGTTTTGATTTAAAAAGGCCAAAACTGACCACGAACCAAGGGTGGCACCAGTAGCTAATTTTTTATCTTTTAAACTCCAAGCTCCACCATTAGGCCGGACATCATGCTCCTTTGATGTAGGGTGATACTTTATTGTTGGAATCGGAAGAACCCTAGCGTTTACCTGTAAAATTAAGTTCGAATTATTAAAGATATAACTATAATCAAAGATAATTTATTACTATGATGTAATAATAATATTTCAAACCTACCACCATCATATCGTTCGATATCCTCATGCCGAACTCTCGAAGGAATTCATTATTTCGAAAATCTAGTATTTCGAGACCGGCTTGGATTTTATTAGCCCGTGCGTTTGGAGGTTGACAAGTAAATTTAATCATGTCAGCTGTTTGCCTTTCATCTAATTTCCGCATGTGTCGTTGCCCCTATAAAAAATAAATATGATAAGAAAAAAAAAATTCTTATGATATTGATAGATAAATTATATAATTTACCGGTATAACGTCACAAACTTCTATTGGAAGATAAACGTTTTTCCTTACGATAACACAAGGAAGATTTGGATATAATAGACGTTTATTGTATTGACGTTGAAAGTATGTTACCACATCGGTTTGGCCACCGTCTCCTAGATCAAACATTGTGCGAGAAGCTTGTGTAGGAGTTAATTTCTCGATCTTAAATTTTCTTCTATTGCCTGCCCTATGATTATCCCTGATTCTAAGATTTTTAATACTCCTCTCGACTCTTTGACGCTCCCTATCGTTCATTCCTCTATATAGATCATTGGGAGTTCTACGATCCAATAATTTTACGACCATTTGAGTAAGAGGACCGCCTTCATAGAATGCGGTCGCACTTAAGTCAACATTTATTAACATTTGTCCCCTCGTGGGGCGCGCTGATTGATAATATCCTTGCCAAACCTCTGCACCTCCATAGATAAGACGATTTCCTTGCGGAGTAAAAAAAGACCTTCCCACAGTTATATGATCTGAGGAAGGCTTGTGACGTATAATTACGTCCATCGCCATTATTGCTATATGATGATATACATTATGAGATCATTTTATTAAAAATAAGGAGAAGAAAAAAAAAAACTTACCCATTTGACAATTATTTGTCAAAGTTCCTCTTGCATGTAAAAACTGCATGAGCTCTTCCATAACAATATCTTGGCCAACTCGTCTTAATTTAATTGCAAATGTTCGTGGTGGACGTCTTCTCGCCGTGGCCGCCGCGTCGTCTTCTTCCAAATCCACCTAATTTTATTAAATAAATTTTAATATAATATATATATATGTATTTTTTTTTAAAAAAAGTAAATAAAATAAAATAAAAATATTTACGTCAAAAGTACCAGCTTGTCCAAAAGGTAACAACTTAGGTGCAAACATATTTCTACGTCCTACAAATAATTTAATTTATTAGTTAGTATCCATTTCTCTCTTTTAAATACAAGCTTATATTTAATATTCTAAAAAAAAAAGTAATATAATTTTGATTTTTATTTAAGGCTATATCGTAAAAGAGTAAAGTAACCTTTCGTTTTGTTTTGTTCAATATTTAGATATATGTAACTAAAAATATATATATATATATATATATATATATATTTTGTTATTCAATACGTACCATCGAACACCGGCCTTACATTCCCAAGAGCTCTTCCTTGGTGTTGTTCTACAAAACGATCAAATACTCTCCTATTCAAACGCTGAGGAACCTCAGGAGTTATTGTTACATCGTAATGTATAATGTTCATTTGCGGAATATCGTTAATAACAAAATAATTTGTTCTAACTCTTATGTTTCTTCCATCACGACCAGTACCTGGCCTTCTCACGAACTGAGTGATTTGAAATGCTGCCTCTTCCATATTATAAAGTCAACAATAATAATAAAAATATCTCTTGGAAGCTTGTTTGGCGTATAAAATAAAAAAGATTTTTTTTTTTTTTTTTTTTTTTTAGGGTAGCTTTTAGGCATGATAATCTTTTTATATTTTTTTGTTTGGTTGTTGATCGTCATACATAAAATTATATTTTGTACGTCACGTACCGTTTATATATTTTTATTATTATTATACAAGTTTTTTGTGTGAAAAAAAAAACTAACAAACTAAATTATATTGAGTTTAGATCAAGTGCATTTGCATGAGACTTTTGCTATTGTTTTCTAATTTGGTAAAAAATTTTATACATAAATAGACAACATTTTACCGACCTAATATAAAAATATGTAATTGTGTACCCATTTTATTAATAAATTTGGTAAGATTAAATAAATTCTATGAATATAATTTTTTCAAATTTATCTATTTTTAATATAAAAATTACTACAAATAATAATAACAAATACAACAAATACAAAAGTAAGTAATATAATAAGTCATCCAATAATTTTAATAATTTGACAATAACAATAACAAAAAAAAAACCGTACCTGATTCCGGATTTCCGATAATATTTTTTTTTTTATTATGATAAATTAGGAAATTTCGGGGTATGATCACTTAATGATCATTTTCTTAATGAACCCCCTTATTTTCCTTATATGTATATGATTTTCTAATATGACCTGGATGGCAGGTTATCCCTTACTAAATGATTTACATAAAAAAAAATAAAAAAAAAAAAAAATATTCCCAACATCCCAACAATTTTTCGTAACTGTGCTAGTAGATAGTGTATATTTACCCCTGTCTCTTATACACATCTAGATGTGTATATTTACCCTGCGTAACGTAATTACCTCGTACAATCGTAATATCATTTTTTAAGTGTAAGTACAAAAAAATAATAAACACAAATTAAGCTAATCCAAAGATATGAAAGAACCGATTTTCGAACTACTAGTCATGACTTGTACAGTATTTTATTGAGGAATGTTCGCGATACGCCCCTATAAATATGTTTCTATTATTAGTGGGTATTTTTAAGTCGAGTATCTTGTATAATTCCATTTATGGTTCTATCTTTTAAGAAAATAACTACCGTTGAATATTTGGCGGCTTCCTCCACCTCATTAAGTAAAAGTTAACTGATGAAAATGGCAGAAAATTCATATGAAAAAGCATTTCCGCTATCTTTTACATAATTTACTTGTGATATTTCAAAGAAAAAAATTTTATAATATTATGAAGAAATTAAACAAAGAACGGAGTCGATGACAATCCAGTATTTGTTATCTATCAGTCCGGCAACAATGCATATAATTAATGTTGGGTAAAAATCCGATTGGGTTGGTAACATACCTTTTAAAATTATTTTTTATCCGGTAATTCTACTCAGCCAAGTTTTAATTTTGATAAAAATTGGTGTAGAAAGTTTAGTAACAATAGTTTAAATTACATAATTGGGAGAGATATTACGTAAAAAAAAATTATATCAAAATACATTAGCAGATCTTCTTATCTTTTCACGTTTTTTTAATTTTAATTATATACTGTTCTCCATTTTAATAATTACGTAATTTATGTAATAAATTACGAGATAATCAAAATAAAGGATTTACCTATTATTACGTCACGTTGTTATAGTTGTTATAGTATATTTTATGTATAACATTAAACTTTGTACATGAAAAGTTTAAAAAAAATAATAAAAAATTTTTTTAGTTTGTACTCCGAAAAATACAAACTTAGATTAAGGGGAAGGGAAAGAGTTTTTAGATGCATAAAATACATATGCATTGTAACATTTGGCTGAGAAACTTTATTGTAAATTCGGGGTTGTCCTGAAATATGGTGAAAATGTGATAGCAGATAAACTGAAGCTTCACAAAAAAAGGTTTATTTAAGTAGTTTTTGTTATCAACCAAGGTCTGGAACATTTTTTGGACATTTTTAAGTAACGTTTTCGGCCTTAACAGGTGAATTTTGTGTGTATATACTATATATGTATATATGAAACATATGATACTTGAGTTAAGTACAGTGGTCCAAAATTCGCACCATTGTCACGTGATTAATGATTGACATTGCAGAACATGTCGAGCATGTCACACAAATTAAATTTAAATACAAATCCGACAAATCCTAATTTCGAAATTCAAAATTCCGACACTCATTATCCCGACACTTATTTATTATATTTATATTATATATTTTACAATATCTTTGAGAATTAAGCATGTAGAAGAGAGATATTTTTTTGAGAGAGAATTTTATGATTTTATAGTAATAGGATATTAATGTGTTCGTAAATTATATATTGAGATAATTTATTCGTGTCTGATTGAACATAATTTTATATCATTTATCTTTATTAAAATAAATCTCTCTTGATTTACAATTAAATAAATTTTGATAAACTAAACAGAGATCGGAGTACTATCTTCAGATTTACCATACTTAAAACGTGTCATTTTACTCAACTTTACATTACATGTAAAATGTCACAAATTACCTTTTTTTTTAAAACAATTTATTAAAGTATAATTGATTTAACAATAATAGAATTTCATTGAAATCTAAAGATGGAAAACCGCTATATTATAAATAGAAAATAATTTGACGTTAAAGTAACATTTTTATTGTGACCATACGAACCAATCAAAAATTGTTTAAAAATATGTTTTAAAAATTTAAATTTTTCTCATCATAATAAAAATTGGTTTAATTATTATTTCTTTATACACTTTTAATAGTCAAAATGAATAAATATTGACTTACCTATTAAAAAAATTATTTATTTTTTTTTTTTTTATATTTATTTATTCAATAAATTTTATTTTTTTTTTATTTATATGTTTCATCAGCTGACTTTCTCATGAAACGTACTAAATAATTGATGAAATTGATGGGCCTGTTACTTTAGTTAAAATTTGATATCAACAAAGATGCATGATAGTATAAATTATATAAACTAACGACTATCAATGTACAGTAATATGCACTATAACGATATTGAAACCAAATTTATATTTTACAATGAAAAGACTACATTAGATAAATAAATAAATATATATATTATATATATGATAATTGTAATTATTTACAGCAATGTATCATATCAGGGAACATCCACTGTAGCCCTGAATATATTTTCATTTTATTTTGTGATGTAATGTGATTGTAGTAAATTCAAATCTAAAAAACGAAGTGTCATGTGTCCAAAATATTTCAAATACTTATTGGAGTAACATTACACATAAATTATATTATAATTAATAGTTAACTATATTAGGAATAGTAACTAAAACAAAAATTTAACTAAATGGGTTTTTATTTTCTTCGACATCCGACAAATGCAGGAGTATAATGATAAATGATAAACATGACGCATTATGATAACATACTCCGCAGTCAAACACATGATGCGTAAAAACCATTTCATATATTTTCATATTTTCATGCATTTTCACGGTATTGATTTCCTATATGATTTTCAAGCCTCAAAAGTACGCCAAATCAAATTGATGTATATATAAAAAAAAATGTATTTGGGTGATCGATCTAAATGTAAAAAAAAACAGAAAAAAGGAAAAGGGAATCTCTATTTTGTGCTCATTCATCGTTAGTAGTTGATTATTTATTTATTTATTTTAATTTTTTCATAAAAAAAAAAAAAAAAAAAAATTAATACTGTATTACTGTATTATATAAATTAAATTTCTGTTTAATAAATGATGGGCTTATATTCATAATTTCGAAAGTCTCTATAATTAATTATCGTTATGTTTTATCTAATTTTTAAAAAATAAATAATTTATCTGTGGATTTGTATATATATAGTCAATTCGTCAATTAAGAAGGTTGATCGGTATAATTTAAACCTTAAATTGGAATATTTCTTTTAATCCACTCACAATTATAATTTTTTTTTGTAAACTTTGTTAAGAGATATCACTTCGCATTACCAGTGCCCATCCAGTCGATGAAAACGCCGAATATCCATGTTGGAAACGTACGCAAGTTCAAAGATAAAGCTAATGCCGAATTTTTTAAATAATAATTATGAATTATCTCCATAATATATTCAACTTTGAGGATGTTTCAGAATTACCAAAAGAGGATCGATTTTGATACGAAAAATGATAAATAGCCAATTGCGTAACTCATATTACTCAATCTGTGTGATAATCGATTTCTCATATATACGCCCTATTTATGGGGAAGAATTCAAAAGTTCATTTTTGGAAGAGAGTAAGTAAAATATTATATGAATATATATTTTATATTTTGTATTAATTAATTAATTGATTATTTATTTTTTAGAAACGAGCTCACGAAATTAATGAACAGACGACATCCCTTCATATTTAAAGGAAGTAAAGCTGCTTTCAAAGTTAAAGTTGGATCTTTTCGATCTCATTGTCAGGCAGAAGAAAAGAACAACTTTGTCAGTATTGACGCTGGCACACTGTTAAGATTCAATAAAAATCCTGACTTGTAATTCTGCTTATTGACAAAAACTGACCAAAAAACACATTCACATTTTATAAAAACAGTCTATTGTCATTGGTGAGTCCTAATAAATTTATGCAACCTGGATTGATTTTCTTCCAGGATAATATCAACTATTTCATTTTAACACTTCTTATAATGTCAAACACTCTTGTAGTTAAATTACCTGATGTGACATATGCAGAAAAACTTAATCTTAAAATGAAAAGTGGAAGTGCATCGCTCTATTCACCATATAGTATAAAACTGTAAATTCCGCTTACGGTGTGGCAGATTGAAGCGTTTATAGTGTGGCTGGTACTTTCAATCCAGAGCACATTGATTCGTGCAAGCTCTAAATCTGGCGAAAGCATAGATGAAACATATTATAACTTACCTACTATTCGAGGTCCAGACTCTTCCATTGTTTTCTTAAAAAGGTTTCTCATTATAATTATTATAATTGGTTTACATGTATGTTTTTATATTTTACATATTTGCACCATTTTTAACTTTTTCATACATATCAGGTGGAATACATTAACACATTCATTAGGCGATTCTAAAGAATATTGTCACGAAAAAAGAAACAAAAAATAAAAAATAAAAATATGTTTATGAATGCAGATGTTGAAGTAAATGACTAATGTTTATTTATTGATTATATTTATTGTTGATAGTATTAATTATTATGGTTTTCAGGAGGGCATTTTAATTGACCCAATTAACTATTTCAGTTACAGAATCCATGGAAGTTGTATTGTATAGGAATTGCGAAGAAATTCATACCTTTACCTCTCAAATCCTTGACGGCCTTGATGGCGAACTTAGAGGGTATTATTTGAAAGTTAATTAGTAACATGTATTCTATATCACAGAAAATAATGTAAATTCAATTCGAAAAAAGGTTAATTTTTTGCTCTACTTTTCTCAATTCTGCTCTTAAGATCAGCTTTAGCTTTGAATCTTCACTGCAGTTGTTAAAGAAGAAAAATTCCCCTCACTCAAATTGAAAAATTTACCGGAAAGTAGGCCCTGGAATTGACAGTTCAATTATTAAAGTTCACGAAAATTCTCAGTTTATTTCTTACCCAAGTGGTACTATAGATCCTTTTCCATATTTCATGAAAAGATTTTCTTAATATAAATGTTTATTATTTTCGAAAATAAAAAATAAATAAAGACGAAAAATAATGTAAATTCAAGTTGAGAATTGAAGGTTAATTGCTTTTCTCCCAACTTTTTGATTTAACTTTTAAGCTTAGCTTTCAGTAAGTTTTTGGGTGGTGTATTTAATAGTGATTCTAAAAAAGGAAAAAAAACAAGGAGTTTTCATAATCTTGTACTGTATATAGTATAAATGAATTTATTGCATTGTTTATTAAATTATTAATAAAAAAATTTTGTATTATACAAATCAACTAACACATACACAGTTAACACTTGTTTAACATTTAGGGTTGGTTTTCTAGTCAAAGTGTCAAACAACGCTTGACATTAGTACCGTATACTTCCGATATTAAGCACCCCCGAAAATAAGCACCCTGACCAGAATTATGAAAATTTTGGCCTACGTTATGCTGTTGCTGGCCAGCATTACGGTCAAAAAAGGGGTGCTTAATTTCGGAAGTATACTGTATATCGTCTTTATCTATATTTTCAGGAGAAATAGTAGTTGATTTTACAGGTAAAATCCTTTTAATTACCGTAAAACAATTAAAATGGTAAAATGAAAATGATTAATTACTTATTTTAAATTAGCAACAAGCTTCATATCTCATGCATCAATAGTATCAGAATCTATCTTTGGAGATAGATATTCTTCATCAATTATTATTTCTAAAATTGCTTGTGTCCAATTTCATTTTTTTTATGTGTGTTCCTCTTTAGTAAAAGTTTCAGATTCGGAATCGTTCACAGAATATAATAAATCTTTATATGCTTTATCATTATATATGTGTTCCTTATAGTTTATCACATCTAGAAATTTCAATTAATATTATTACATACTGTATGTACGTTTTTGAGAAATTAATGCAAATTAATTAAAATCGGGTGTCCGCTACTTTTGTCCAAAGTGTAATAGTGATTGGAATTATGTATTAACAGTTATTCGAATAAGCTTGGTGGTTATTTAGCCAGGTTAAAATCTTTTTTAAATCCTTAAATTTGACTGAATTAAATCATAATTCCGGCCAAACTTATGTTAATTAAAAGGAAATTTATCTTACTCGAGTAATATTCGAATACAACTTTATAAATTTAAATGAAGACTCCTTTTTTAGTAGATGAGTTATTTCTGACTGTATAGCCATTATAATTAACCGCACTCTATAAATGTAGCAATGGGAAGAGTTAATAATCGGACCCTTTTATATTCACCTTATAATTGGATCGGAAATATTGAAAGATTGAAGAAATAAATAATAAAAGCTCAAAAAAAAAAAAAAAAGATATTACTCCACGGTTTTGTGATCAACTAGAAAATAAGGCGAAAGATTTAATGCTAAGTATTAGCATTTTTGTGTTTATTGTGTAATTCCCGTTATAGAAGCTGGAAAGATGGTTTTAAATAATAAGAGGAAAATCTCCAATGTGAAAGGGCTGTGTGAATGCCCAACAAAACGCAAATTTTTAAAGATCAAATAATAATAATAATATAAATAAATCATGAAATTTTTTTTTTTATTTTATACACATATGAATGAAAAAATTCTGTCACTACTATTACTAAGCCTAATTAATTACCAAAAACTTTTTATATTACTCCTAGTGTTCATCAAATACGCAAAATGCATACAACGAAATGGGTCTTGCTAAAGATCACCATAAGGATGACTGACAAGTTTCATGGTGGTCACGATATAAAAAATTACATATATAAAATTATATGGTGATAATGATCACCACTGGTGAGGTTTAGCTTTCCTAACGAAGTATTCTAATTATCGGAACTTAAGTTATTTATATAACTTCACAACTTGACAAGCAAAGGTCTTCATCTCCTGTCTCTTGTGAATTGAAATTATTTGGTTCAATACTATTGAGTTCGGAAATTACTTGGCGAATTTCTGGTCGTTCATCTGGTTCTTGTTTCCAACATACTATTTAAATATATTAAAATTATATTTTGTTTCAAAATCAATTGCGAACCGATATTCCTAAGTTATATTTACCTTTATAAAGCGCAACGAATTTATTATTTGTATTTGGAATAGGGTTTTCTCTTGTACCTTTAAGAATTTCTGACTTAATTAGACATCTTGCAAGACCATCAAAAGGTGATGAGCAGCTTGTTAATTCCCACAATATTACTCCTAAACTATATATGTCTGATTTTTCGGTTAAATCATAACTTTCGGGATTACCAAGAATTTTAGGATCCATGTAAGGTATTATTCCACGTGGACGTGGTTTAGTATAATATTCATTTCCTCGTAGACGCGAACATCCAAAATCCGCCAATTTTATTGTGTTTTGATGTATTAGTATTAAGATATTATTGGGATGCTAAAAAGAGATATGCAAATATAAAAATATAAAATTATGCTTTATGGAAGCCATTTAAAATAGTATAATTTATTATACTTACAAGATCTCCGTGAATAATTGCGTTGCCATGTAGCCATAAAATCGCGGCAGCAATTTCTTTAGCAAACTTTAATTGGCTTTCCCATTTAATTTTAGCATTGTTCCTTAAATGGTTTTTTAATGTTCCTCCGTCCGCATATTCAAGAACGAGCGAATAATGTGGTTTGTCTAAGAAAAATAGGAATGAAAAAAAAAATATGTAAACGAAATACTTTGAAGAAAATAAAAGTATCATACATTAATCATATGACTATTATTTTACCTTTAAATTTCGTAATTCCACAAAATTGAATAATAGATGGGTGCGAAGCTACTACTCTCATTATCTTAATCTTGAAAAAATAAAGAATTATATAAATATCTACTGTATATCGAAAAGAATATTATAGTTGTAAAAACAAGAACATAATGTAACGCACTTCATTAATGATATCATCTTCCTTAGAATTTTCGTTAAAGTTTTTAATCGCAAACTTTTTTATTGTATTTTTCCAATACACAACGTGAACCAAAGAGAATCCTCCAGAAGCAATATTAGTAAGATTTTCAAAATCATGAGAATTAAAAATATGAATTACTTGGGATCCCACGTCATCCAAGTAATTCTTTAGTCTTTTGGTATTAGTGGTAGTAATAGTATATGGAATAATGAAAATTTTCATCCATAGTAGTAATATAACAAATAAACTTAGTTTACTTATACTATATAATTCTAAACTTAGTTTAGAAATAACCAAACTTAGTTTACTTATACTATATAATTCTAAACTTAGTTTATCAATAACATTTCTGAATAATATATGAAGTATAGCCTCCAAAGCTATTAATTTCTCAACGTATTAGTGCCTCTTAAGGCTTTATTGTCAACAGATATTGTTGATAGTATAGATAGTGTCTTGAATTTTATCTTGTTTTTGGTATGTGAACAAACGACACGTAAGTTTTTTTTTACGCTAAAATTGTATGTCAATTTTATCGACTCATAAGTCAAAAAACTTACGGGCCATTGCAGACAATTAAAACTAAAAAGTTCAGCCCTATTTATACAAAGTTCGGAGTTTAAACTTGTGTAAAGGAATTTTATAATAAATCATCTAAAAATCTTGCGTTTTGCGTTGTAACGTTGAACAGGAGCAAGCCTGTGTAATTTCAGGTAGTTTAGTAGTATATTATGTCGTGACCTGAATCTAATTAGGTTAGGGGTATTCCACAAAATAATTAGTCTGTTTTTGTAATATCATTAACAGCCGTGTGTAACTTCATATTTATGTAAACTATATCTGATATTATTTGAATCACATAATAACTTTTGCACATGTTGTTTGTGATATGAACTTTTTTATAGAAAAGAGAATTTTAAAAAATTTTTTTGAAGAATTTTCTAAACGGAGAAAGAATGTTTCTGTGAGTATGTTCTTATTTGGTCGATCAGTAAACAATTACGAGGATTATTTATTTTGCATATGATTGATATGTCAGTGTAACCGAAATGAATGGGCCTACTTTTATACATATACAAAAAATTTTATAATTCTAATATATGCTAAATGGTATTATTCAGTCAATAATGTCAAATTTAAGCCATTTTTTATTTATATTATAAAGCGCAACAAGGTTCTTAATACATCGTAAATTAAACATTAAATCACCGCTGTGACATACAATACTGAAGCTTGAAATAAAATGAGCATTTTAATTCAACGGAATCCTGTCTTCGTGTAACAAAGATACCACAAAATCATCAAACATGGTGCCGATATGTGGGATAAAAAAATAATAATGGCGAACTGATATATCAAAAACTAATTCACTTAAACATTGACCCGAGAATACAAAATTATATTATATAAATTTATATTTTAGTAGTTTCTATATGCAACTCAAAAATCTGCATTTTTAACTTGTTTCTTGTGACTAACTAAACTAACCAAAGTTGTAGAGCTCATAAGAAACGAATCCAGTCACGTTTAATAAATTTGGAATATCTTGGCAATCATAATCTATCCAATGAATTGAATCTTTATTTAGAATATCTTTTATTTGATTGACCAATTCAATAGATTTTTGATATTCATAAATCATTTTTTTAATTTTTTATAAGGTCCGTAGTTGAAAATTTTAATAAATCCATTACACATGACGCTGGCCGAAACGTATTTTTATTACAACTTTCATTATTTGAATATGTATATTCAAATTTTAAAATTATATATGATTGACTAATTTAAATAAGCAGTATGAAAAAATTTTGCGCAAACTTTTCTTAAAAACTCTATTTTAAATCGATATTTAATCATTATTGTATTCTTATCTGAAAAAGTATTATCAGTTAATACTAAGACTTTATCCCTAATTCTAAAGTTAAAATATATATACATTTTTTTTTATTTGAAATTTAAGTTCTAGCTCTTTCTTTGAAATGGATGAATCTATTTATTATTTTATTTTAGTTAATTTTCTAATAAAATTACTAACTATCATTAATCACATTTCATAAAAAATATATGATAGATGAAATATTTTTCATTGTTAATAGTATATTGTTCATTTCATCGTGATAATTATATCATTTTAATGTGAGTTCTACAAAATTATTTTTGTTTTTTACTTTAGTTTTTAAAATGAATTTGAATTTCATGTTTTGTAAAATATGAAGTTATAGATGCGGATGAGTCGATAGTCGATACTCTAACAGACTCTCGATAATAATTAGACCAAAGTTAAATATAAGATCGATCGTTTATTTTCTATTTTTCTATGTTATTTATTTTATTGTAATTTATATTGGCAGGTACTGATAATTGGACAGAATTTGATGTTTTAGATGTTCCTAATGACGCGCAAAGAATTGCTTATTAACTGGCTAGCCTCTTCAAATAAAAGGTTAATTCTATTACAGTTACTATATTTATTCTACTACTATTTTAGGTGATGGTTCTTAACTGATCCCATACCTAAAATTCCAGAACAATCCGATCATCCAATAAATCTCTCCTAAACTTGAAGCTATAGTGCATTTTCCAATTCCATAAAATAATGAAGACCGAATCTAAAAAAATAATCTTATTAGTTACTAATAGAAAAAATTTTTTTTATATTAAAGATTTACAAGATTCACCTCAGTCGATCGATATATTCGCTCGTCTGTTCTGAAACTGAACCTAGGGTAAAAAAGTCATAAAAGTCAGATCCATGGATGGATGTCCACATAGAGATACAGATGTCCAGATCGAGTAGTAGTTTCAGGTGATATATAAGAAATCATGGATATATTCGTTCCAACTTATACAAAAATATAAAAATTAGGCATGGCAATCTGTGGCAAAATCTCAAGCTTCTGATTTCAAGCCTATCACTTATGACGCCAAACCTGATCCAGAATTAATTATCAAACCCGTCTTAGAGCATTTCACATACCTGAAATTCCGAAATAGTTTTAGGGGAATTAATAATTATAACTTTGCATTTGCTCAGCCGTGGAACTCGCCATGCCCTATTTGTGATAGAATTATGGATTACATGGAGTGAATGGTATAGAAATGGAACAGAATATTGTCTTACCTGCGACAATTCAAGCAGTAAATTCAAGTTTGCGATCGTAGCATAGGCGTCATGTCATGTGAGAAGTGGCTTATGCAAAAAATTCTACCGCAGTGTATTCAGCTATACGCAGTAAGGTTTCCAGCAATGATGATCAGCTCGGAAGAATGTGATAAAATAAGTGAGAAAGGAGAATTTTTTATCTAGCTTTATATATATATCTCATGCCCAAAAATCGGGTCAATAATACACTTTCTTATAGGCAGAATTACTTTGAGAAATGGCATATCTTTAGGAGATGGAATCACGGATGTAAAGCTTGTGAAGAATGCAAATTATGCAATCATCACTCACATTTATACTGCAAAAGGTGTAAAAAAGGAGCAGAAGGAATATATAAGCGGTGTGATCGTGTGAATGTCTTCGAGTACAATTCGTGTCAAAAAAAACGCCCTTGCGATTAGATAGTAGGTTTTATACCATTACACCACAGTAAATATTCGCATTAGGATTAGCATCAGATCTTGCAGACGTGGATAAGAAATTTACTATTCTAGAACAATATTATTAACTTCGAAATTACAGAATTCCAAAAGGTTTCATTAGCAGACTATCTTGTAAAAGGAGAATAAACTGAATAGATTAGTTTAGGATGGCGTTATCATGTACACTGTAGCAGGCTACGACCTGTATTTTATAATTTACCAGACATTACAGTATATTTTTTTCGCGTGGTGTTGGTTGAGGGATCGAGGGAATTGTGTATGCTAAAATTTCTCTAACAAGTTTTATTATAACAAAACTATTAATTTAATCCGGAGCGCAATAACGTTAGATTTTAGTATAGGCGACATCATGTATCACGGGAATAAGTAATTTATTCTCGAACTTTCCCGTATATATTCAAAGCTTTACGCATAACAAAAAAGACCTTGTTGATCTTTATATATGGGTAGCATCAAAGTTTTTTTATTATAATTTTAAGTGGATCCGTTGATCAGATTTTATCATATTAACGTAATTTCCCCCAAAAGTGTATAACAAAATTGATCCTGCGAATTATATAAAAAGGTAATGGCTCAGTTAGTGAACCCTTTCATCTGCTGTCTTGCGCAAATAAAGCAAAAATCAAACGAAAAATAAAACCTACCATTATTCACATCATCGAAATCAACAATCAAACGAACTCACATTTTCCGCAAAGTAATATAAGATAGGTTGTATTATCGTTTGATTAGCTTCTTGAAACACATCAGCACGACGTTAATCAATTTTCTGGTTCTATAGATATTCCAAAATAAACCGGACATATTACTTTCTTGTTTTATATCGGCATTTTGATCTTTGCCGAGAAAATTTTTGACAATCATCACGCGTATCATAGACGCAGTATCACAAAAATAATTCCCGTGATGGGATATTATCTTATCTAATCAAACTTCACATGCAACAAAATTTTTGATACTTGGCGCAGTATCGTAAAAAAATTAAGCGTCAAATTTTCTAAAAACGAAGTGGATTGGAATGTTATGAAAATTAGACAGCGGTAAGCATGAATCGATGACATTATATTGCTGTTTGTTTTTAACTTGCTAATCTCCTGATTTATATTGTAGATTCGAAATTATTAATCTCGTGAAAGTTCTCTTGCGGAACTTAACACTTTATATGATCTGTGTAGTGGGAGTGATATTAATAAATGTAGATATGGGTGGGACTATTTATTTCGAAAATCTAGTGTAGTTGAGACCGAGAATCTCGTAGTTAGCAATAATGATATGAAAAAAAACAATTATTATAGAAATTTATAAGCCTGAAAGAACAAAAAAATAACTTGATGCTGGGACTCGCATTAAATGGCCTAGGATCCGCGTACTCCCTAGCATCATATATTTCGCTTGCTTCTTTAGAATTTCTTTATATTTCTCTTATGTATCTGAAAAATTAATGAAATATCGCTGTACACCAAAAAATAAATCATTTTTCTTGCAGGATAAGCACATCATGTTCATTGCATCACGATTTGATCACATCGGACACGACACGATATGGCTCTATAACAAAGTTTAATCTATCCTACTAAAATCAACAACAAAAACGAAATAAATAAAAAGAACAAACCTATCCCTAACTATCCCTAAACTCTCTCTTTAAACCTAAACGCTTTATTCGGACTTTTATAAAATTTGATAATAATGAGTATAAAAAAGCTTGAATCATGATATTATATAAATATGATAGATTAAATAATTTTATAGTTATCCAATAGTATTTTATATGCAATATTAAATATGAAATTTATTTTATTATTATTTATACGTGCAATAAAATAATATTTATATACATTATCAATTTTTAAGCTAATTAATGTGGAAAATTAAAAGTGCAGTTATTATAGGAAGAAAATAGGGGATAATTGTTAGACTATTTAGACTATTGGTAAGCTATTTATAAATGATCATAGAGGCCTCTCGGATATTAAATAGAAAATATTTTTACTTATTACATTGGCTGAATAAGCCACTTCGTGGCCTATTTTCAGCCAATCATTTTTTTTTTTTTAATTGTAACTTTATTAATATTGTAATATTTACGCTCTGTAATTTATTGCAATGTAGACGTTACTGGAACATCCGTTAAATAAAGTATCTATCTAATAAAAGAACCACCTAACGCTAAAAACATAATTGAAATATACATAAAAAGAAAAAGAAAGCCTAATTCATCCAATCATTTACCCTCCATAAGTAAAAATAATGTTATTCACTTTTTTCCATCGGATAATTATATAATTTCTGTCTTTCCTTTTTTTTCTTACTTTTATCTATCTTCTTTCAAAATGCCTAATTTTGAAATTATCGGTACACGAAAAACACTCTGGTGCATTACTAGAAAGAATAAATTTATTTTCAAAGAGTAGACAATGATATTTTCGATCTTAAAGAAATTATTGCAGAAAAAGTTCCTAACGTAAATGCTATATGTCTTGTGCTTTGGAGAACTAATCTCGAAAATAATAGAAATATTTCTCTTGATGAAAGTTTGGACGAAGAATTAAAAAACGAAACAGAAAAGGTTGGAAATGTTTTTACTGATGACGCGGGAAGCAATATTCGAATTATATTTGGATTATCAGTTAACACCGGTAAGCCTTTGCATGGTCATAACGCGTAACATGTTTTGTCCAGTAACTAACTATGTCTTTTTGGTCTCCTAGATGAATATCAAGGTAAGCCTTTTCGTCGTAATAATTGGTCAACACAAACATGACACTTGACTGACTCTTTTTTTTGTTCTTTATCAGGTACCTTTGAATTTCATTTGCATAACATTTATTGTTTCTGCACACTGATCTTAATATTCTCAATTATTTAACCTTTTTCTATGTACAAAAGTATAATGATGAAAGGAAACTTTTAGACGGATTTGAAGAATATTCGATACGTGACCAAAATGATTTTAGTTCCAGAGTGGAGGCAAGGTCGAGAATCCATTGATGCTTCTGATAAAATTCCAATGGTAATCACGTCATTAGGAGATATTAGTACCAAGAATTACTATAGAATCAATGCCTCTCACCTTACATATATTAGAAAGGGAATAACTTGGTCACAAATAGAAGATCAAGCAATGGAGAAGGAAATTTTACTAGGGTAGAAAAGGTTCTCCATGAAAATATACGGGCGCCTTCTTTAAAAATCTTCAATAAACAATTATTGTTTGATTCAAAAAAAAAATACCAATATTTGAATTTGATGGAATTATCATTTGTGATGACAAGGTATTTTTAATCGAGTGTAAACATAATATGTTAGAACTTCATTTATTTTTATAAATCTACCATGAATTTGTTGGTTGGCAAATTTAGCATTCTTAGAAACACAGAGAAAGTTTTACCAAAAAGATTAGGCGAATTTCCGGAAAAACTTATTAAGAATTTTTAAAATTATCGGGAAAATCTTACGTTGGGGTTGTTTGCGGCACAAAATTCCCTGAGGAATTGAGAGGTTTGTCAAAGACTAAGGATTTATAGTTGTATTTCCAGGTGGTGACCGTTACAAGGTAGAAATTCCTAAAGAATTATCTAAAATACGAAAATGTAGTTAAATATATTATAATCTAGTTGCTTTTTTAATGTTACTTTTCCACTTTGTTATTATTTTCAAGCCATGTAAATTCTTTCTTTAATGTTTCAAGTTGGTTCATATCAAATAATTCTCGTTGATGTAAATTTAGCATAATATAAGATTGTATATATCGGATAAATGAATGATCATTAACCCGAATAATTTTTTTTCATGAAAATTTTATTAAGGAATAATCAAGCTGTAAGGCACTTGTTTATTAGCGTATACTCGGGAAGCTATTATTGTATTAATAAAATTTTTATTTTCTTTTGTATAATCCTTATCGTGAATTTTATTCACGGTTTATTTATGCTAACAAACAAACTTTTGAATATTTAACGTGATGCTGGCTATGCCACGAGACTTAATACCTTCAAAGGAACCTGCCATAATAATTTGGCAGAATTTCATCTGAATTCAATGCCTCTATCGAAGCTTTCCGAAATGAGAGTTCACGGATTAGTATGGATAGCCGCGAATCAAAAAGAAAAAAATATTTGGTTATTAATAATAAAATATTTTTGGGGATGGATTTACCGGATTCTCCCAACGGTGTACAAATTGAAATTGGATCTAGTAGAAAGAAATCCGCAATTTATCTGCATATCTGCGGATAATCCTAAAAAAATTTTTCATACACATTCTTTTTTAAAAAAAATTTAACAATTCAAATTCAAAAGAATCTTGGTTATTATTATTAAATTTTGATAGATTAAAGAAAAAGTATTTTACAAAGTTGTATGAGAAAATATTTAATTCAAAGTTAGCACGATCATATGATGCAATAAAATTTCCAGTTTTAGTTTTTGGATTTTTAAAGTTAAAGATGTAAATCTATCAAAATAAATTATAATCATATCATAATAGTTTATTATTTATAAAAAGGAAAAACTGTTGATTTATTTATATAGGACGAGAATTTGGATAAGTAGGTGTGATGAAGTGGCGGAAATAGAGAAAGAAAAAGGTATAGATAATAAGGATAAGAGGAAAAGGAAAAAAAGAAAAGAAGATAATGACGATGGAGATGGTACTAAAAAAATAAAAAAAAATGAAAAAACAAATAAAAATAGTTTAAATGAAAAACACTGAAAAATTAATAAAATTAGTAACAAGGTTTATTAGGCGATTAAAGATAGTTGGGGAACGAGAGTTAAATTATAGTATTTAGATAGATCGGTTAGTTATAAAGGATAATATAATTTATTTATATTATTTTCTAGGTGTTTGTTATGTAATATTTTTGTCTAAAAATGTATATAACCTTAATTAATAAACGCGTCACTAATTTTTTTTTTTAAAAAAAACTGTTTATTTATTTAATTTTGATTTAATTGCTCTATATTAGGCCGGGCAAAAAAAAATTTAGATTCTCGTGACCCGACCGGGTCAGTTTGAAAAATGGAATTTTTTTTTTTTTTATAGTTTAAAATAGTTATCACGTGATTTTAAGTTTTTTGGCCGATGTGCGTATAATAATTTTACATATGAAAAAATTTTACATATATAAAAAAAAATGCCGACCGATCGGGTCATTTTTAAAATTTTATGTCACGAGAATCCAAAAATTTTTTTTGCTCGGCCTTAGACCTTTTTTTTAATAATTATTATGATATTAAGGTTTATATAGCATAACCAAGTGTTTGCATAATTATGAAAACAATGAAATCAATAGTCTTTAATAATTTTTTGATTAATTTAATTTTATTGAAGTAATAGAAAAACTGTGAAATGGTTTAAATTATTTTTTTAGAAATGATCCTGTGATTATGCAAAGATTTTTATTGACTTTACTAATTTTACCCCATAATTTTTCATTGAGGAATCATCTTTGGTAAGTCATACATGGATGATCGGCATTCCAGGAATTATTGGCTGAATTATTTTTAATTGTTTATTAAAAGCCTCCTGTTACGTCGGCGTCTCCAGCCGTCTCAATATAAATAAATATAAGAATTAATTAAAAGATCTTTAATAATTACCGGTTAAAATTTCCTTTTTTTTTCTATGCCGATCAATAGCGTAACATTCATTAATTAGAATTTTTATTTCAAATTTTTGAATGTTACACATGTTGCACAAGGGCTTATTTGTATATAAATTGTATGAACTCCGTAATTTTAAAAAATTTTTTACGCTTCATTTTATTATATAGCTAACATTATCTTTGAATTTGATAATTAAATTGTAATCTACATATTTACAATCCAAATTAATTTATTATGGAAATATCAAAAATGAACCCTAAAGAAAATAAAAGAAATTTATGGGAGATTGTTTCCACTCGTGAATATCAGGTAACATTATTGAATTTTTAATTTAAATAATAATGTTTTTTTAATCATTTATCTTTAAAAGAAACATGTTACAATTTCTACTATTGGTTCAACTCCTGAATCAGCAGAAGAGATAGATGATAAAATAGTTTATATGGAAGATTTAGAAAAAAGAAAACAAGCATATGGAATATGTGGAGAATGTAATGAACCTGGCACAGGAGAAGATTGGTGTCAACCTTGTAATGCTAAAAGATTTAAGAATAACTTTAAAAATTGGACTAGTGGAAATAAAGATATTGATGAATTTATACAACAATCACAACTTAATGCTGTGTACTATAAAAAATATCTTGAATGGATGCCTTTTGAAAATTTTAAAGATATTACATATATTACCAGAGGTGGATTTGGTAAAATCTATTCAGCTGAATGGCCTGAAGGATATATTGATTCTTGGGATATTGAAAATCAAAAATGGAAAAGGTATAGCAGAAAAGCTGCATTAAAAAGTTTGGATAATTCATCATGTATAAGTGCAGAATTTTTAAATGAGGTAATTAAAATAAGAAAGGCAATCTGTTTACTTTTATTTGTATTATTTATATATTATTAAAAATTTCACTTTCAATATTTTCATTAGATTAAAACTCATCTTCAGATTTATCTTTGGGATGTTATTCAATGTTATGGAATAACTCAAGATCCAAATACCAAAGATTATATGAAGGTTTTATTTAGAATATTGTGAAGATGGAAATTTGAGAAACTACTATCTCAATAATAAATCAGATTATAATTCATAAATTAGAAATTTAATGCAAATTGCAAGAGGACTTTTAGACATTCATAATGCTGGAAAAATTCATAAAGACTTTCATTCAGGTAATATATTACATCATGATGGTTCATATATAAGTGATTTAGGAATGTGCCAACCAGCAAATAATGAAAAGCAATCAGATAAACAAGAAGGAATTTATGGAGTATTACCTTATATGGCACCAGAAGTTTTACGTGGATATCAATATACAAAAGCATCTGATATTTATTCATTTGGAATAATTATGAATGAATATATATCTGAAGAAACTCCTTATAATAATATTCCTCATAATGATGCTTTAGCTATTAAAATATGTGAAGGACTTAGACCAAATATTTTTAAATATACACCAAAATTACTTGCAGATTTGATTACTAAATGTTGGGATGCTAAAGTAGAAAATAGACCAATTACTAAAGAATTATATCAAGAACTTGAAAAATTGTATTATAAACAATCTAAATATCGTTCTCAAATAAATGAATATGGTGACAAAATCAAATTAAACAGAACAAGTGAAAAAAGATCTAATAACATTCAAACACATCCACAAGCAATCTATACTAGTAGACTTTTAAATTTCAAAAATCTTCCAGAACCAGTAAATTCAGGTAATTTAGTTTAACTTACACTTTGATAACCAAAAAAATGGTTACATTACTAATAACTTTATTTTTTAGTAGACGTTATTAAAACAACATTACGTAAGTAATTATTTCTATTGGCAATCAATATAATTAATAGATTTTTATATAGTTTTTAATATTATGTTAATTAATTTATAGATTCAGAATATTTAGATTGTCAATTAGACGAATTAGGTAAGATATTTATTCTTTAGTTCTTTATTTTGCTTAATATTTATTAATTTCAGTTACTTATTTTGTAGATCTTAATGAAATCAATCAAGATGAAGAAAATAATATTGAATGATTTTTTTTATAAGAATCAAAGAATTTAGTTTAATCAAAATAATATTATTAAATTATTTCTTTTATACTAGTTATTATTTATGGTTTTGTATGTAATATTTTGGTTTAATAAAAATAAATTATAAATTGGTTAGCTATTGATTGTCCATTAATTGACGTAAAAGATTTAATATACAGTACATAATGTAATGTCAGATTAAATTATCACTTTTTTAATAAATTTATTATTAGTTTTTTTTTGCTTAATTATGTTTAAACGAAAAATAATTTCGAAATTTTTACAAAAATGTTTTAAAAGATTTTAATTATTGAATTGTAAAATGGAGAATTATAATAAATTACTTGAAATACAAATTATCTTAAAAACTAATGAAAAACCCGAAAAAAAAAACATTAATGAAAGGATTATTAAATTAAACAAAGGATAACAAATGAAACAAGTCAAAACAAAAAAAAAGATAAAGGAAAATCAAGAGTGAAACAATGAATAATAAAAGAATCAAATGATAAAGTTGAATCGACAAAAAAGGAAACTAAGTGAAAATATAATTGAAAAAGATTTTCTTTGTGCAAAAATTTGTAAAAGAATTCTTTTATTAAATATATTAAATAGTCAAACAAATACTAAAATAAGAAATAATTTTAATGGAGCATAAACCTTACAGGATTTATCATCTCTCAAGAAAAAATTTAATTAGGATTTCGTTGACAATCTAAATACACAGCGAAATTCGATAAACCGGATTTGGGCTTTTTTGCTGGAACCAAATCACGTATATTATAATAATAGTTTCGATAGACTGGAGTTTACTAGTAAATACTTGATATTTGCTATAACAGATCAATTCTAACCAGCAATAGTAGAAATGATTCGATAAACCATATCACGTGATTACTAACCAATAAAATAACCTGGGTAAATTTTGAACGTATTTCGGAAGCTTCTAAGAAACGATTTTGCTAACAGTTTGTTTCTTTTTTCTATAACAGATAGATTATGACCTCTGATATATGGTTAATGATGAAAATGGTGATTGATAATGGATATCAAATTACATTACTTTTTGTATGTCGGAAAGTAAGTTTCTTTGCAAACTTACTTTTAATATTTTATTTGGAGAAACGTTAATTTTATACTAATATTTTATTCATTAATCTGTTTATAAGGGTTCTCATTGAGATATTGATCACGTGGCTTATCGCTCTGGACTCAACAACGGTTACCGTTTCCCTAGTTAATAATTCCTAAATAAGAAAAATTAAAAGTAAAAAATGTAGTTCTACTTCTCAATCTTCTACTAATTCTCATCCACCAACATTATTTTACAATATGGTTTCCAAATTTCTTTATTAATATTTAAATAAATATTATTAATAAATACAAATGAAATCTATTGATATTTTTGTTTTTAATAAAGAAATTAATATTTGTAAATAATGAAAGGAGAACTATTATCAGTATTGTGATATGTCCCCTAGTAATTTAAGGCAAATGCTATTAAAATCAAATTGTAAGTAATATCTCAGCCAATAATGACTGAATCCATATTCATGTTCTAATAGTCATTAGATTTGTTTAAGCAGAATGAATCTAATGAGCTATAAATTTTCTGTTTTTTATAAAATAGCATTAACAATATTTCAATTGATATTTAATTATAAATATAATAAAATTTTAACATTTGATTTGATTTAACCAGATGAATATAATAAGCCAAAGATCAATGAAATCGATAGTGAGATAATGTGCTTAAAATTTTTATATGTAACTGAAATAAAAATATTTAATTTCACATATAATATAACATTACATTCATATCATAATATTTAAATATCCTATTTTTTTAAAAAAAATCAATTTTTAACATTGTTACAGAAGTAGTTTTAAATAATATTTGATAAAAATAAATATTTTCATGATGCAATAAAATTATTTTCTCTATATAGACTCAATAAATAGCATTCTAAATCTACTTTTTAAGATTAAATAAAGTTATATTCCTAATAAAATTATACATAATACTAAATTTTATATATTAAACAATAAATGAATAAGTCTCACACCTTAATTCTGTGCTTAATTTTAACAATTTTAACAGTTTATCTGTGTACAACTTAAAAATGGTATTTTTTTTTTAGGATTTATAGCCTGATAAAATTACATATAATATCAAATTTATAAAGTTATACAATAAATGAATAACTGATAAATTTCATGCCCTAATTTCATACTTAATTTAATGATTTTAACAGTTCATTTGTGTATGTCTTAAAAATAGCATTCTAAATCTATTTTTAAGATTAAGTAAATTTGTAGTCCTAATAAAATTACATATAATTCTTAAATTTGAGATCTCTTTAATTAGTAGTAGTTCCAGAAATATTAAAAAAGTTTAGAAATGGAAAAAGTTTTATATTATACAAAACAAATGTTATTACTTATAGATTGATATCATAATTCATTTTTGATTTTAATATGAAAAATGGCATTTACATCACTTTTGCTTATATGTTCACTATATATTTTTGTAATAAATCATCTTATAATTTTATCATAAAAGATACAGCATAATGGAAGTTCTATTTTGACCTATTATTATTACACAAACTATTTATACAGTGTATACAACAGTATACATATATGATTTACGATTAACCACTTGAAGAACTTAACCAATTACTCTGATAAAATATGAATATAAAGTATAACTACCAGCTATCTATCCTGTTGATATAAACAACCAATTAAACATGATTTGTTGTAGAATGCTTGTTTACATATGTAGGATTACTTATCTGAAGCCACATGATCTCAAATAGCAATAGTTTTAAATAATCTCAGTTATAAGTAAATTAAATTATTTTGTAGCACAATCATTTTAAAATACATAAATACAGAATATAATTGTATTATTTAATGAAAGCACCTGCATTAGTGCAAACAGCCATATTGTGGTATAAAACTTTTTACATTAAATTTCTTTGGATTTTTGTATATAATTTATCCAATTATCCAAGAGCCCATTTTCATTTAAAAAAGAATTCCAATCATTTATGGTAATTTCATCCCAATAGCTAGGTGCAACATCGCATTCTTCCCATGACTTATCTTTAATTTGTGAAGCAATAAAAAGAAACGGGGAGTAATTACTGTTACATTATAATAATGATAAATTAAATCTTTCCTATATTGTCCTATTTTGACTAGTGTATACTTATAAACTACTACTTCCTTGGTGCTTATTTGATATTTCTTCTGCCGACTGAAGTTTTTATTTTGAAATTTTGATTTTTCTCCAGATATACTGTATTTTGCAATGTTGATGAATAATAGACAAATATTCCAAAAAATGTGTGTAGATAATAATGGGTAATTTACAATAAGACAAGAATCCTCATAAAAAAAATATTGAAGAAATCTTTATTTTGCTAATAAATAAATATTTCATCATTGTTAAAATCCATATCCAGCCAAAAAGTTTTAGGAATTCTTGTTCTTTCTTCTTTAAATAAAAGCAGGGGATCTATCTTTACTTTTTTGGCAAGTAAAATCTCTATACATTTGTTGAATCTCTGCACTATGCAGGTCATCACTAATTTTGCCATATAATAGAAACATTAGATTAAATTAAAAAAATTTCCTCTAGGAATTCTACTTAGTATTAGGTGTCTTTGTGAAGGTGTAAGGTGATGATTTATGGTCATCACCCCAGTGGTGATTATTAATCATCTTGGTAGTGTTGTATCAGTTCTTTACGCTTAAAATTATTAAGCAATTTATGTGGTTAGGTAGCAGAAGGTTTATTAGTGTATAATTAGACAATGTATTAAACAATATATCAAAATTATCCGATCAGATGTGTTGTATAGCTCTGTACGTCGGCATATACTTCCAAACATGAATAAAGGATTTCACTTGATAAAAACCTATCAATTTATAACTTTAAATAAAACTTTATTTATTCCCTTAACATTACAACAAGAAAATTGACCTATATTTATAATTAATTATACATATACTAATAAATTTAACATATTCAATATATTTACTATGTATAATATGACTAACATGTTCAATATGTTGATCATGTCCAACATGTTAGTTAGGTTCGTCATGTTAATTATGTTCGGCATATTAATTATGTTCGACATGTTAATCATGTTAAACATTTGCAACATCGATCAATTCCGGAATGGCACATGATGATCACATGACAGTAGTAATAGTGATCGGTTAGGTAACCTGATAACCTGATCTGAAAAATTCCTAATCGCTTTAATGAATTAGGCGGTGGTGTCATATTGAAAATTGAAATATATGAAAATTACAGTGTGAGGTGATGATATGTCATATGATTAGTAGTGCATGTGCTCTATCCACAACTCCTAAAAAGCTCAAAAATATATTCCAAAAATCATTTTTTAGCGGCTATCATCCCTATATGGTTCATCTTTTTTTTACATTTTCATGATTTGAAATAAAATTAATAGGAATATTCCTATGATATACTATCTTTTCTAAAATAAATTCCACTTCAATATGAAATTCTTTATTTATAGTTAAATTTATTATTTTAATAATGTAAGTTCCTTCTTGATTAAAATAATGTTTTAAAATTTCTTGAGCAATTATAGGATTTTTGATGTTTTATTAATATTAATATTAATGTTTATTGTTGATATTATTGTTAAAATTTCAGAATTTAAAATTTAAAATTTTATGAATTTTGACTATTATCACTGCTATATATCAATATTTGTAATACCAACACACTTTTTAATATTTGGATATATTGAAAGGAGCCTAGGTTAATTTGTCAACTTTGTGTTTCAATTTGGTTATTTTTTTTTGTAAATGTAACTTTTACTATTTTAAAAAGATTTTATTTAAATTGAATTACTGATTATTGAATAAATTACTAGAACAAATTGAATGCAAATCAATTTATCTTATCATTATATATATCAATATAGTAATTTTTGCAAAAGTATTTGAATTATAAAATCTTACATTATGATCAATCAATTTGAAGATAAAGGTTTTTGCATTAA